CCATGGACGGAGGAGCCTGGTAGGCTGCAGTCCATTGGGTCGCTGAGAGTCAGACACGACTGAGCAACTTCATTTTCACTTTTCACTTTCATGCGTTGGAGAAGGAAATGGCAACCCACTCCAGTGTTCTTGCCTGGAGAATCCCAGGGACGGGGGAGCATGGTGGAATGCCGTCTATGGGGTCACACAGAGTCAGACATGACTGAAGCAATTTAGCAGTAGCAGCAGCAAGCCACATGCCAGTTTTTACGACTCAGGAAAATGTTAGTTAAGAGTCTGAGAGCTGTCTCCTTGAAATGTGAACATCAAGGAAGACAGCAGCCTATCTCCTAGTTCAGGTGGGGGCTTAACTTCGGTGGCCAGCTCTTTGTTATCATTACGTGTTTGTCATAGAGATGTCTATTCCTTTGGATAGACAATTAGCAAGGACAAACGACCTCCCCAGTTACCAGTGGATTTGGGGTGAGCTATGTGTGATGAATAGCCGTTAAGTCCTCTTACCTGAGAACTGGTTGTTTTTTGTCTTCAGATGAAGCATGGATTCAGCTGCATAAAAGGAGGAACTTTCTTCTCATCTTGCAATCTCTAGTGAGCTGCCTGCGATCTACATCACATTCTATTATACTCTATTATTCTATTCTATAATAACTTGCATTTGTTCAATAATAAAACTCTTGTTTCTCTCATCCTTTCGTGGAAAGGTTTTCTGTGTCGGCAGATTTTGTCTTGAATTCTTCCCACCACTTTCCCCTCTTGGCGTCTCTTCCCTGATGCAACAGAAGCTCCGTGGGACCTTGTCTTCCTATTTCACTGCTATGTGCCCGGCACTTAGGAGGTGCTCAAAATGTGTTTATTGGATGAATAAATGATGTTGCTGGCTGTGTCCTTTGAGCTTTATTTTCTACAATGAGCAAATGTTACCCATTACAATAACTAATGTATTCTTAATTATTAATTAATAACAAAGTATTCTTGCCTGGAAAATCCTATGGACAGAGAAGCCTGGTAGGCTACAGTCCATGGGGTCGCAAAGAGTCAAACATGACTGAGCAACTTCATTTTCACTTTCTTTTCTTTACAATAATTAAAACAAAAACAAACAATGAAGCCTTTAAAGACTCCATAGTTGCCCATAGAACAGGCAGCAGCTGGTTTGCTTTACGGATATTGATTTTATTTCCCGTTAATCCCCATGCTTCTCAGACATGAGTCAGTAATCTTTAAATCGTTCTTACTAAGTACTTCAGGAGTTCTTATTAGCAACTCTCTAGACATCGAACAAACAAAAAGGAATCTTCATGCATCATGGTTCCAACTAATTCAGACCTCACCCGAGTACTGAGAAGTGATCATTTCTATCTCGAAGGCAGTAGAGGGGAGATTCCTAGAAAGCCAGCAAGTCCATCCTCTACAAGCTATTGCTTTTCTCAGTGGTGGTTTTGTAAGTCGCATCTCTCTCCCCAGGTGGCCTCATTGGACTGGACAGCTCAGGACCCACACCCTGTGCCCGCCCACACACACTCAAAGCCTTTAGTTGTGTCCAGCCCACACCATTCATCCTCTTCTTGGAATGAATGAATGAAGAGAAACAGTAATAATAATAATGATGGCCACTGTGCTTACCACGATCAGCTTTCAGGAAGGCACTGTGCCAAGCACACAACTACATGAAATTTCTCTTCTTCATAGCAGCTGTGCAATATGGGTGCTATTATTATCCCCATTTTACAGATAAGAAAACTGAGGTTCCAAGATGTTGAGTGATTTAACCAGTTACATGGTCAGTGCACCTTAAAAGGGGGGACACCCCTGCCAGGCAATCTGACCCCAAGCCATAAAATGCTATTCGTTTCCAAACAGACTTCTGGACATTGGAGGTCTGAGATCAAGATGGCAGCATGGTCAAGTTCTGCTGAGAATTCTCTTCCTAGCTTGTGAACTGCCTACTTGCTCTGCCCTCTTGCTGCAGAGAGACTGAGAGACTGATGGCTCTTCAACTTCCTATAAGGGCACTAATACCATTACACGGACCTAACCCTTACGACCTAACCTAACTGTATTTACCTCCCAAAGGGCCCATCTCCAGACAATATTGTATTGAGGGTAAGTGCTTTAACATACGAATTTGGGGAAATATTCCTTCAGTCTATAACATTCCTTACCAGGACATTGGATTAAATAAGTCATGGAGCATCTGTAGACAGAATGTTCTACAGCTTTTAAATAATATTCCACAATTATGGTTCCAACAGGAAAGACATTAATGAGAGATTAAGTGAAAAAGTCTTATTATGATGTATATGCTCAGCATGACCCCATTTTTACCAGTACAAGGGGCAAGGATCTCAAATCCATCCTCTGACCAGAGGGCTACTGACCACTAAGATTCATACAAACTACAGTAGAGAGGGACAGGCATCTTTATTAGAAAGAGAGAGCTGGGTAGACAAAAAAGAAAGAAATGCCAGACACATTTCCATGTCTTGAGTCTTCACTGTGCCAGACTCAGTTCTGCAAGTACTGAAATATATCTCCTTTGCAGCAACCCTTTGAGATAGGTGTTATTACTCCCACTTCTTACAAGTGAGGAAACCACCAGCTTAGACAGTTGGAATCACTTAACAGAGATTCTAAACCAGGTCTGCACCGCATCAAAGTTGTGATGCTAACCACCAGCTCATGAAACAACAAAGTCTTATTTTCACTCTATCGGCGCTGTTGGTACATGGCAAGTGTTCAGAATAATGAATGCTGATTGGAAATGAACAGAGAGGAGGCATGAAGCCATACGTGGGAATGGGTAATTTGGTTTGCTTTGGAAAAGGGGACTGAAGCAGGAGATGGAGGATGGTGGAGGGAAACAAGGAGGTGAGCTGGAGCCATTGGTTAAGACCCAGGCTTCCTCTGAGAGGTAGGAGGCAAGGGTGTGTGCCAAGAGGGAAGGCATCAGGGCAGGAGGGAGGACCCCAAGTGGGCAGAAAATGTTTAGAATAGGCACTGCAGAATCTGACAGAGAAAGAGAACCGGAATAAATACACAGGTACAATCAGAATATGTAATTGGAGAAAACGAGGCAGTTTGTCCTAAATAGTGTCCACTTTTTATTTTAACACAGTCTGTCTGCCAGATCTACCTTCCCACATTCCTACAGAAATGAGCCACAGTGAGTAACTCTGAGGCCCTGGACCCCCAGGCAGATTCCCCTGGAAACTGGGGCAGAGTAATTCCTCCATCAGAAGGGAAAAATCCTTTCTTCTTCCTCCAGCATCCCAGCCCCCTTTCCGTTTCAACCCCCTCACATACACACACTGACTTCTTCCCCTTCGCCCTGGTACACGTGCACTTCCCATGTGACATTCACCACCATGCATGGGCACACAGCCCCATCCACTTTCTGGAATTACCATTCCCCCATACCATCCCCCCAGCCATCCTCCTCTACCTCCCTGCCAATAGAACCCCAACTGTGTTCAGGAGGACAGTGTGCCTGCTCTGATCTAAGCCAAGTCTGTTTCTTTGCAGGATCCTCAAATTCCAGACTTCCCTGCAGCTAACAGTATCATGTGACTCTGTTCTATCCAGTGAGACAAGGTGGGGGCAGGTTAGGGGGTGGTCTCGAGGTACTGAATTTGGGCATATGGATTCCCATCCCTTTCTTGTGCACCTCCTGGTCAGAATGGCTATAATTTTCCTTTGCAGCTAGGTTTCTGGGTACTAATTTCCTTCTGCTAACTGGATGCAATCATAAAATATTTTGAAGGCAGAGGCATCCTCCTGTGGCTTGGGTTGTTTGCTGCTGGTTAACAAGTTGGCAGAGATGTGGGGTTTTCTACAGCAGAATCCAGGTGTCCCGTTGCCAGCCCACGAGTGTGGACAGTTAGTGGTGACAGAAGCCTCAGCCTGACCCTGCCTTCTCGTGTCCAGTGGCCTGTTTTGTGGAAGGAAGCTGCAGTGGCAGCTTTCTGATCCTGGGGTCACTGTCTCTGGCAATGTGCTCTTAAATTCATTCTTTTCGCTAGCTTGCCCCTGACACTCACCTTCCCGCTGGTGACTGAGGGGCCACTCCCCTTGCCCGCTGGTGTTGCTCTAACCAGAGTCTTTCCTTAGGGCCCGGTCTAATGTCCACACCTCCAGCTTTTCCAGTGGTTTTCCAAGCAACAATTCTCCGTGCTATTTCCCCCCCCCCCCCCCCCCCCCGCTTAAAAATAGCAAAGATCTAGAAACACTTTGGATCCTTGAAGTGAAGTATGAAGTCACTCAGTCGTGTCCAACTCTGCGACCCCATGGACTGTAGCCCACCAGGCTCCTCTGTCCATGGGATTCTCCAGGCAAGAATACTGGAGTGGGTTGCCATTTCCTTCTCCAGGGGATCTTCCCAACCCAGGGATCGAACCTGGGTCTCCCGCATTGCAGGCAGACGCTTTATTCTCTGAGTGCTACCAGGGGGTCAGGCAGGAGAAGAGGATGAGGATAAGAGGCCTCGGGGAAGGCTTCGTTTCTGTAAGCCTCAGTTTCTTCTTCTGCAGAATGGAGACCAAAGATTAGTATCTTTATTGCAGTTAACAGTCGAAAACTGTTGTAGATTGCAGTTCCTAAAGATGGTCACGACAATATTTCCCACTCCACAAAACCTGCCACCTTGCCACTTCCCATCAAGTCAGAGGAATCTAACCCCTTCACTCTTGAATCTGGGCTGGGCTGGCCTCCGACCTGATGAGTCAAGGTCCTAGGGGCTGGAATTAACCCGGTGTCAGACAGAGCTCGCGTCTCCAGCCCTCTCATTGGGTGCTGGGTTCCAGCTCCCGCCCCGCCCACTCCTCGCGCGGCTCCAGCCCCGCCTTCGCCGCTCTGGCTGTAGCGGGGGGTAGGTGGGCGGGGCCTAGGACGGGGCATGACTCCGGCTCCGCCCCGCCGCTCGGGGCTCTGGCTCCCGCCGGCCCCGCCCAACGCGCCGCTTCCCCTGCGGTCTGCTGCTAGGGCAGCGCCCGGCTCTGCGCACCATGGCCGGGCTGCTGGCGCTGCTGAGCCCCGCGGGCCGGGTGGGCGCCCGGGTTCGGTGCCGCGCCACCTGGCTCCTGGGCGCCGCTGCCCCCTGTGTCCCGCCGCCGGTGTTCCTGCCGCGGCTCGGGCCCGGGCCGGACGCCCAGCTGCTGCGCGCCGCCCGCGGGAACTACCAGGGCCGCCAGGTAAGCCTCCCCACCCCCACCCGGATCCCCGGGCGCCCAGATAGCGGATCCACCTGAGAGCTTTACACCCGCAACTGCTGAGACCGAGCACCTCCAGGTCCCCAGACCCCAAATCTCTTCAAACCAAGGAAGCGATCTCCCAGTTAACAGCCGGGGAAACTGAGGCTCAGGGGGGCGTGGCGAATGCCCAAGGTCACAGCCTCCCAGGGATCCCAGATGCCCAAAGCTGGGCCTGCGCTGTGGTGGCGGCCGAGAGTATTGGAGGTGGGGCTGGACTTGGTATCGACGTTGTCATCCGGCGCTTAGAGTTGTTCCCTTTGAAGTCACGCTGGGGCCCATCGCTGGGCTGAGGAGGAAGGCTCGGTGGGTGCTGCTGTCTCTAACACCACCAGCACCACCACCTGCCGCCGCACCCCCCACCCCCACCCCCCGTTCTTGCTGCCGCTCCCTTTTTATCTAACTTCGAGAGCAGGCCTCCCAGTCAAACTGCGGGCGAGACTCGCGCCTGAAACGCAGGGTTACTTCTTTGTGTATGTCTTCACTTGCCTTCTATGCATGGTAAGTGAAAACTGGTTTTCATTCAGAATGCAAATGCAGACTGCTCCTTTCTGTAAATATGTTTCAGTTTGATTTTGAAGTGGGTATCCTTAAAGAAAACAGGTGGTGAGCAGTGCCTTCTGGAGATGCAGAACTCAGTTGGAAGAAGCAGTGCCTGGAGCTTTGCCGCTCTGGTCCAGCCTGCCTGCGTCCACTTACCAGGGTTGCTGTCTCACCCTGTGCTCAAGGTCTCTGAGGCCTGGTTGCTGACCTTTCAGGGGGCTAAAAATAACACCTTCCCAATAATAGTTTGGGGGACCATTCCATGAGCTGATGCAGGCCTGAGCATGGTGCCACTGGGAGCCAGTGCTTCTTGAATGTTCCATAGGCCTTTGACTCATGACCTTACCATGCCTCCACCACAGATGGAGAAACTTCCTTCTCTGCCTTGTGCTGGGCCATCTGGCAGGCAGTAGATCTTGTCTTTGCCTCCTGAGCCCAGCTTGGGGATCTTCACATGTCTAGCACCCTCTGCATACACCCAGTTGTCTCCTGGTGATTCTCCATGCATCAGCCTTGCTGTCCCTTCCTCCTGGAAGCCTCCCCTGACCACCAGTGATGCCTTGGATGTCTCCACTGGCCTCTCCTCAGCCTCGTGGTAGTACATCTTCTATGCTTTCCTTATATGGAATGTCCCCGATTTGATCGTCTGTCTTGTTAGCCTGGCACTGTGTAGGGGGGTGTGTGTGTGTGTATGTGTATGTATGTTTGCTGCCCTCCCCCCGTCCCCAACCCCAGCTACCACTGCTGTATTTATTAAAGTAAGGAGGCTGTATGAGACGAGTTGAGAAGTTTTGAGGAATGAGCCAGAAATCTTGTTTAAAAGGTCAGATTGTTAATAGTGACACCTGTTTTCATTCATGCGGTAAATAATATTGATAAACACTATATAGTGTTTACTTTGCAACAGGCACTGTTCTGAGTACTTTGAAAATATCAATTCATGTAATCCTCACAACAACCCTGAGACATAAGCAATACTATTATCTTTACATAAGCCCAGAGAGGTTGAGTAACTCTCTGAGAAACACAGTGATTACCTGTCAGAACTGGGATCCAAACCAGTCTGGTTCCAAGGCTTTTGCTCTTAAGAACTGTTCTTCACTTCTTTGTGAGTGCTGCTCTGGGTTGGCACTGCTCTGACTCGCTGAAAGGCAGCATGTGAGGGGGAACTGGGAGATGAGGAGAACGCTGGGGCTCAGAGAGCCAAGTCATCCGCAAGTATATGAAAGCACTTTTATCTAAAAAACAGACACCAGGGGAGGTACGAAGTTATTTGCAACCAGGGCAGCAACTAAGAATATATCACAGGTTTTTAAGGTGATATCTCAGCAAGAAATGAATGTTTGAAAGATTCCTATTCCTTGCAGGTCACCTCTTAATAAATTCCTTTTATTTTAACCTCTTTCATCTCCTCCAGGCTTAGGAAGAAAAATACATGACTCACAATGATCAAAGAGATTTCCAAAATAAAAGGAAGTAAATTATCCATGTTGAAAAAAAAAATCTAACTCTAGAAAGTTAAAAACTAACCTTGGCACCAGCCAACAGGAAATTGCCCATGTGCCTGAATATTTTGTCCCTCCCGTTGTCTGGCAATAGATACTTGTTATTCTGTAGCTGGAAGTCTGGCTGCCTTTTTATTTTTCTTTTTTGGCCAAAAGGCCATTTGCCAAAATAGAGGTTGCACAGAAGAGGGAGGGAGAGAGAGAGAGTGGCAGCTCCGCCCCGTCCTGTGTGGACAGATGGGGCAGAATGAGGTTCTGTCAGGCCAGGTGTCGGGGTGGGAATGAAAAGGGCTTCCACCCATCGTCATCCGCCCCAGGACACGGTTGGGCTCTGGGAGCCATCCTATCAGCGCCCGGCAGCCCTCCCATCTGGGGCACTTCCTCCGCAGCCAAAAGGCGGGTGGGGACCTGTTTATCAGAAAGAGCCTGAGCTCCCAGCGGCCATTCCGGCTGGTGGATGTCGGAGAACTGGGAGCATGGGTGCTGGCCCAACAAAGGAAACTGAAGACAGTTTTCCTTCTCCCCTGCAGAGTCCTGAAGTTCTGAAACAGACTCTTCCTCTAGGAATGTTCAACTCTTGGGGGACAAGAAGGGGAGTCTGTAGTGCAGAACCCAGTCTGGGCACTGCCAGCCAGCTCGCAGCTTCACCCCAAAGCTCCGGTCTCCCATCTGTCAAAGTAGAAGTGACAGAGGTACCTGCATCATGAGGTCGTGAGGGTTTTTATAAAACCTTTAAAGTGCTAAGCTCGGTGGCTGGCTCAACAGAAGTAGCCTCTCCTGAGGACACTCATGGTTTTCCTAAAACCGTTCAAAACATGATAGGCTTTCCTGCCTATCAGAATCAGTCTCTGGGACCCCATAAATGGATACTGGCTCAGCGGTAAAGAATCCGCCTGCAATGCAGGAGGCCTAGGATTTGATACCTAGGTCAGAAAGATCTCCTGGAGGAGAAAACGGCAACCCGCTCCAGTATTCTTGCCTGGAGAGACCCATGGACAGAGAAGCCTGGCAAGCTACAGTCCATGGGGTCACAGAAGTCAGACATAACTGAGTGACTAAACCAGCCGCCACCACCCCCTTTTTTAAGTGTCTGTTTTCATAAGTCTGAAAACCCCCCGCAGAAGTCAAAGCTAAAGGCTGTGAGAAAATACAGTTCATCCTCACCCTTAAGGCCTTAACACTTAATTCCCAGGGACAGAACAGCCTTTAATGGTACTGAAATTTAATTCCAGGGTGAAAGCTTCCAGGTTGGTGGGGGGGCGGCGTGCGTGTGTGTGTGTGTGTGTGTGTGTGTGTGTGTGTGTGTGTTTTCAGTCCTAACTGCAGTTTGGGAACAAAAGAGATGCTCTTTCAATGGGGAGGTAGTGAAAAGACTCTTAACTCATAAATCTGAGTTTTGTACCAGCTTTTGGGAGAAGAGGGGCAAATGAGTCGCTGTTGCGTATGATTATAAATCAAGGATGACTCTGGGCAAATTTTGTTTTCTTTTGGCCGCATGACTTGAAGGATCTTAGTTCCCCAACCAGGGATTAAGCCCTCCCCCTCAGCAGTAAAAGCAAGGTGTCCTAACCCCTGGGCCGCCAGGGAGGTCCCAATTCTGAGCAAGTTTCAATCCAAGACTGAATTCCACCGCCTCATTGCCGTGCCCAGAATGTGGCTCTTCACTGAGCCTTCCTTCCTTCCCCTGGGGACAGTAAGATGGCCTGCTTTTGTACCTTATCTTCCACAAATGTGCAGCATATACACTTTATCATTCTGGCATCTGACCCAGAGCCAGGCCCTCCTGTCCTGCATGAAGCCAGGGTGAGAGCCTGCCCCAGAGGTTACCAGGCACAACAACACTCCCAGACATAGTGGACATTCTTTGTAGAGCAAAAATATGCTATGGCTCCTAGCTTAGCCCGCAGGCTAAATTTTAGAATCCGTACTTTGTATTTCAGTTGAATCAAATTCTACTTCATAAAAAGGGATGAAGTTGGATACCTGCTACAATGTGTATGACCCTTGAAAACATGATGATAAGTGGAAAAAGCTGCGGTAGTCTGTTCAGGCTGCTATAACAAAAATACCATAGACTGGGCGACTTAAGGGCTTCCCAGGTGGTGCTAGTGGTAAAGAACCGGCCTGCCAGTGGAGGAGACATAAGAGATAGGGGTTCGATCCCTGGGTTGGGAAGATCCCCTGGAGGAGGGCATGGCAACCCACTCCAATATTCTTGCCTGGCGAATCCCAGGGCCAGTGGAACCTGGCAGGTTACAGATCATAGGGTCGCAAAGAATCAGACACGACTGAAGTGACTGAGCGTGCAAGCACAGGTGGCTTAAACAGCAAACATTCATTTCTCACAGCCCAGGAGGCTGGAAACCCAAGGTCAAGACACACAGGTTCATTGTCTGGTGAGGGTGTGCTTCCTGGTTCATTGCCAACTGTCTTCTGTCCTCTTGTCATGTCCTCACATGTTAGAAGGGATAAGGTAGCCCTCTGGGGTCTATTTTATAAGAGCCCTGATTGCATTCATGAGGGCTTCACTCTCCTGACCTAGTCACCTCCCACCTCCAAATACCATCAGGGTGGGGATTCGGTTTCATTGTATGAATTTGGTGGAGGGGGAGGCGAGTTCCACAAACATTCAGTCTGGAGCGGAAGCCAGTCACAAAAGGCCCGTGTTGCATGATCCTATTCACAATAAAAACATCCAGAATGGGCAAATCCATAGACAGAAAGGAGCTTGGGGTCTCCATTCCCTGCTGGCAAGATGGGGGAGAGGGGAATGGGGAGTAACTGCAGATCGAGTGGCGAAAATCTTCCAGAAGTAGACCCTGGTGGTGACTGCACAATGGCAGACACACGTGAACCATGCAACTGTATACTTCAAACGCTAAGGTGGACTTAACGGTTTGTAATTTCCATGTGGGCAAAACCATTTCCAAAGTGGATAGGCCCCTTCCTGGGGAGGAAGAGGAAATGCATGATGAAGTCAAGATGGAGGGAAATGCAAAGGAACCATAGCCTGAGGGGCTCTTGGTTTTAAAGAGAGCAGTCCAGGAAGGCCTCCCTGCAGTGGTGCTGGATAAAGATCTGGAGGCAGTGCCATGAGGCTATCTGGGGAGAAACTTCCTGGCAGATGGAGCAGCAGATGCCAGGGCCTGTCGGGCCTGGCCTGTCCTCCTTAAAGCAGCAAAGAAGCTAGGCGGCTGGAATGGGAAGCAGGAAGGAGAAGGGTGGTGGTGGTGGGGGTTGATGTCTGGAGGGCCAGGGGGGCTAGTGCACAGACTACTTTAGCTTCCAGGAGGCATCTGAGGCGGGGCAGTGCTGTAATCCCACCTCGGATTTCACAGGTACTCTCTGGCCACTCTGTTGAGGGGTCAAAGGTGGGATTGGGGGACAGCTGGGAGGAAGCCATCACAGTCACCCAGGGGTGAGGCGAGAAGTTTGGGCCAGGGTGATAGGAATGTTGGGTGGGGAGTGGAGGGGAGGGGAGGTGGGTTGAGTTTGGACCTGGTGGGGTCGGCCGATGGCTGGTCGTCGGGTGTGAACAGGGGAGTCAGTGACTCGCGTTTCAGGCAGAGCATCCAGGAGGATGAGGTTTGCCGAAACAGGGACAGCTGTGACCTGAAGAGGAGCGCGTGGGTGGGAGTGGGTCAGGAACTCGTCCAGATGTGTTGTGGATGTGTGACCGTGGACATCACGGCCAAGGCAGATGCACCAGCTCTGAGTTAGGAAGACACACATCTGGGTCACCACCCAAGGTGAGGTGTCAGCAGGGCCCAGCTGATGTCATGTGGGGGTTTGGACCACTTCTTGCTCCCAGTGCCCTCCCTTGGACACATGGGGTGACCAGAGAGGAAACCCGGTGGCCACCTATGCCTCCAGAGCAGGGCGGGGCTGGGAGGACTGCTGCCTTGTTCGGTTTGGAGGCTGCTTCTCTGGATATCTGGGTATCCAGATATTAATTTCATTCCTGGGGTCTCCGTGATGCATGTCATTGTCCCTACCCCCCAACCCCTGCCTTGCCAGCTTTTGAGGTATGCCTGCGCCCCCGCATGTTCTAAAAATATAAGGAAATGGCCTCCGCTTCAAAGTCCATAACCGGAGCTGACTGACCCAGATCCTGTCCTTGAGAAGAGCTCTGTGAGGTCTGTTGTGAGAGCTGAAGCAATCCTTTGATGAAAAAGCACTCTCCACGTGGAGGAGGAGTTTTGTCTTTTTAATCCAATATTGTTGTTTTTGTTTCTCTTAAACTTTCCAGGCCTTGTAGATGCTCAATAAATGTTAATGGACACCCTACACAGTAAATAATTTCTCTGTAAACCCCCAATGCTGCATATATGGCCTGGGAACTAGCCCTCCCCCTTTATCCATTCAGATCTCAGGGGTAAATCTTGATTCCAAAAGTAAATATATCATAGCTTCTGCTCTCATTTATTTCACACCCGCTGTCTTGTAGAGTCTAGCCTGGTTGTCATGTGCATAAGAAAACACCCATTTGTTTTCTTACAGTCAAGGAGGTCAGAAGCCCATGAGGTCTCATGGGGGCTAAATTCAGTGCATCAGTGGGGCTGGGTCCTTCCAACTGCTCTGGTGGTGGTGGTATAGTCCCTAAGTCATGTCTGACTCTTGTGACCCCATGGACTCTATGTAGCCCACCAGGCTTCTCTCTGTCTATGAGATTTTCCAGGCAAGAATATTGGGTTGCCATTTCCTTCTCCAGAGGATCTTCCTGACCCAGGGATTGAACCTGGGTCTTCTGCATTGCAGACAGATTCTTTACTATCTGAGTTGCCGGGAAAGCCGTTTCCTGTCTTTTCCAGCTTCTAGAGGTGCCTGCATCCCTTGGCTCGGCCCTTTCCTCCATCTTCAGAGGGAGTAGCACCAACCTCTGCACATCTGACTCTGCTTCTGTCTTCATGTCAGCTTCTCTGACCCTGCTGTCTCCCTCCCTCCACTTACAAGGACCCTTGTGATCACATTGGTCCCACTCAGAAGACCCAGGATGATTTGCCCATCTTAGGATCCTTAACTGAATCCTACCTGCAAAACCCTTTTGCCACATAAGGTCACATAAGGTTCCGGGGACTAGGAACTTGACATCTTTGGGGCCATTGTTTTGCCCATCACATGTGGTACCCAGCCCTTCAGTGCACTCAGTGGCGTAGCGGGCATTTGCCTCAGCTGATGGAGAAGGCAGTGGCACCCCACTCCAGTACTCTTGCCTGGAAAATCCCATGGATGGAGGAGCCTGGTGGGCTGCAGTCCATGGGGTCTCTAAGAGTGGGACGCGACTGAGCGACTTCACTTTCACTTTTCACTTTCATGCATTGGAGAAGGAAATGACAACCCACTCCAGTGTTGCTGCCTGGAGAATCCCAGGGACGGGGGAGTCTGGTGAGCTGCCGTCTATGGGGTCGCACAGAGTCAGACACGACTGACGCAACTTAGCAGCAGCAGCAGCAGATGAAGAAAGAGAGGAACTCATCTCTCATTACAAGAAAGAGCAGAATATCTGTGATTCTGAAGGTGGTGATGTGGTGATGACCACTTACATCCTTGCTTCTGCCCTCAAGTGTCTCCCTTTCTTTGGTTTGTGTGCAGGACCCCAGCAAAATCACTGCAACCGCAGGCAGCAATATCAAGGGCACAGAGGAGAAAAAGCTAAGCAAGTCGCAGCAGCTGAAAAAGATTTTTCAAGAATATGGTGCTGTGGGAGTGTCACTGCACATTGGAATCTCATTAATCTCCTTGGGAATGTTTTACATGGTTATTTCAAGGTAAGATTGGGACCGTAATAGGTATTTGTTTTTTGCTATCATGTAAGTCTTTGGGAATAAAAACTTTCTTCCTAAGATTTAGTATTCATCTAGCTACTTTTATTACATTTTAAAAAAACACTGTAAATCTCATAGCCAAATTGAGTGCTTAATTTAGTCCCTTGCTGTAGTAAATATCTTTTGTGTTTCTGTGTTTGTCTGTCTGCCTCTCTCCCCTCCAGTGGTGTGGACATGTCAACCGTCCTGCTTAAACTCGGCTTTAAAGAATCACTGGTCCAGTCGAAAATGGCGGCCGGCACAAGCACCTTTGTGGTGGCCTATGCCATCCATAAGCTGTTCGCACCCGTGAGGATCAGTATTACCTTAGTTTCTGTGCCCTTGATTGTCAGATACTTTCGGAAAGTGGGAATTTTTAAACCTCCAGCAGCAAAGCCTTGATGAACTCTTCAACTGTGGGCCTGAAAACCTATTTCTTTTAAATGACACATGCTAGATTGGTTTTAGGATGTAGGTTTTGTGGTGGGTGGGTAGCAGGGGCTAATTGTTGCATTCTCATGAATAGGATTTACTTTTGCCGGCAAAAATTCAGGGTTTCAAATCATTGTAGTTTTTCTGCTTTAAAGTTTGGGTAATGCTGTTCATCACAGGGCTTGTCTGCATACTCAAAAAATGTCAGCAGAACACCACCAATGAGTTGTCATCTCAGACAAAACTGTCAGCCAGGAAATGTTCCTTCCAGAAGACCATTGGTGAGGGTCTGCCTGCAAGAGCCTCAGGGGTTCCTCTTTGCTCAAATTCTTAAAGGGTACTGATTCATTACGCTGATTTTTAAAATTCCCCTTCCTCCGTACTTGTCAGGCTGCCTGCAGTTTAATATGCAATACTGTGCAAAACGGAGTCCAGTGCTACAATTAATGGAGCAGAATTGAGGACTTCCAAACGTGTTATCAGGATCTAAGTTAGCATCAACACTTTGACATTCATTACACTTGTTTGGGGAAAAGGAACAAACAGGTATTTCTGGTATGTTTCATTGATTCCCAAACATCTTCAAATCTGGACAAGTAGAGCCTGCCTCAGCTGGTTTTTCACAAATTTCATTAAAGTAGGTCAGAATCATTTCTCTCTTTAGGTAAAAAACGGAAACTTTGCCCAATTTAATGGCATCAGTTGGCTCTGCTGCATATATACGGAAAGCTGAGACAGTCTTGGCCTAACTCACCCTGTCTCAGACTTCAGACATTCCAGAATCACTGTCACAATGTTTACACTGAGTTGCTACTTCTATTTTTTAATTGAGTTAAAATTATGTGTGTAAAAAAAGATTTTGTATCACTAAAAAGGAAAGTTACTAGCAGTTGCTGTAAATAAGGCAACTACAAAATATATAATACAGTAATAATACAAGCGGGGGAGGGATGGAGCCAGTTTACCAGATAAAGGGGGTGTGACCTGAGACCCCACAGTCTCTGTTAGGGACATTTAAGAATAGAACTCGAAGCACACACACTCAAATTGAGACTTTCTCTGCAGAATAGTCAGAAACGGGCAACAGAGAAGGAATGTCTTCTGGTAGGCTTCAGCATCCCTGACAGCTGCCCACCCCGGGCCAGGTTCCTGCAGGGCACCTGCTCAAAACCCAGGAACCCCACTGTAACCGGTCTGTCCCTCTGCCACGGATGAGGGGTTGTGTTTATCTTTCTGGCTCCCAGATTTTATTTTAGTTTTTTTGGTTTGATTAACTACACTTGTGACAATCAGAAAACTAAAGCAACTGTAAACTGATCATCCTGGTTTTACTGAGCTCTGACTATTGACATTTTCCCAGTTAGACCTTAGTAATCCACATCAATCAGTTATTTCAGTTAACTTTTAAAAGTATCTTCATGGGACGGGGTCTCCAGTTGCAAGATCTTTAAAGTGTATCTGATGTTGTCTCCCCTTATAAAGCAATTAGCCCATTGCCAAGAAGTTTTAGCCATTTAAAGTTGGAACTGTCTTTCTGGGGTCTACTTCCAAGGACCATGGACACAGTAGAACAAAATGAAGATGCCAGTGCTAGGTAATTCCTTGTGAGGGCAGGACCAGCACTTCTGTGTTGCTGTCTCTATGGGAACAGTTAGCTTTGGGCTCCTAACCACCTTCCACATCGGCTTCCCTACCCATTCAGATCCTGAGTAATGCCTATGCAAAAAAGCCCGCAGGGATTCCTCCAAGTTTAAGGGCTTAAATCTCAAACTTTGATTCTGTGTTTGGAGAAATGAGAGTGGACTGAAAGGGCAAGCAATAAATTATCATACCAAATAGCCATAGCGTTCACTTCTAAGCCCCAATGCCACTCCACTCCTGTGGCCAGTGGTCAAAACAGAACAGAGTAACTAGAGAAGAGAAAATCAAAGGATCAGGGAACTAGAGCATTATGTGAATTCACCAGCAAGATGTACAGATCGCTTGTATTTACCTTGTTTTTATGGAACTAGGGGAATAGAACTGATGACCTATTTTAGAAATGTAAGCCATTGTTCACCTCTAATTTTTTAATCTGACAAAATGAGCAGCTTAAGTTCCACGAAACAAATAAAATCTTTGTAAAGTTTGTGCAGAACCTGTTACTCCTCTTGTGGTAAGCCAATCACCGCTGCCAGTGACAACCCAGCACTGCATGTGACTAGTTTGCTAATGCAACCCCATTACAGTGAGCTCTTTTCTGGGCCTGTGTGGGATTGTCTGGGGGAAATGTGGCTTAGCTAATAGCCCTGGTGGGGTTAGTCATGTCATGTTGACCGCCACTGGCGTAGATGGATGAACTACTACTTCGGCATATAAAGCTCAAGACTATGGGAACTGGAAGTTCCCAAGGCAATCAGACACTGCAGTTTTACCCACTTATTTTGATGTTTCTATGACTACTTTGCCAACTCTGCCCTGGAAGTGTATAGCACTTCTGTGTGGACATTTCCTGATCTGTCTGCCTCTTGCGTTGAAAATAGGCCATGAAATCTTATTTCCTCTCCTCGTTCTCAGTAAGTTCAACACTTCCACCTTTGTCTTCATCATGATCAAGTTCACCATCTTGGTTGACGCACAAGTGTTGGCAGCTAGAAATACATAATTCTATGTGATAGGAGCACATAGAACCTGAGACCAAAAATGGGAGAGACCAGCTCCTCATGGCACCTCATTTCTAGGCCGAGACTGAACAGCTGGTGAAAAGAATTACCCATGGACTGCAAGCAGACTTATCTGTGGACTTGGGTTTCAAGTTGACACAGATGCCTCAACTCTAGGGTGTCCCATGGGGACCAGGTGACCAGGGGAAGGGGAAGCTCTAGCCAGCTGTACTGAGGGGGCAGCAGTGTCCACGTGTATGAACCACTTTGAACACTGGCAGCACCCAGACCCCTGCTCAGCTGGGTGAACACTGTGACCACAGAATCAAGGCCAAGGGCCACACTGGGAAAGTCAGGTTGCCAAGAGCTGGCTCACCCAACACGTGGAGCTCCTCACCATGCTGTCGAGAACATGGTCAGAGCCCAGAAGTGGGCGGGTGTGGACATGGATGGTTGACCCCTCCCCTCTGTCCAGCCAGACCACCTGCAGCTCTAGCGAACCCCCAGCAGCCCCCATGTCGTGCCGGGATCACTCACTCCTGTGAGCTGTTGCCGACTGGGCAGGCGACTCCCCAGGATGAGGACTCCAGCGGGCTGTGGTCATGCACAAGGGTGAATGTCCACTGCCCAGGGCGGGGACCAGGGCTCGGGGGCACCAGGGACAGTGGAGGGTGCTGGCTGCCCTCACACCTACTGGTGTTCCCCAGCAGGGCACCCCACTTCCAGTTTCCCACACCAATGGGCCACATTTCCTGCAGGCCCCTCCCTCAGGCTGCAAGGACCTCTAGCCGTACCTGCCTCTAAACTTTAAATCCTGTCTTTCAAGCCCAACTGAGATGCTCCTTCCCCCGGGCCCTGCTCCCCCTTTCTGTTCCCTAACCCATCACTCCTCCCCTGCCCCCAGGAGTGCAGGAGGAGGGATGAGGGAAGGAAGGGGATGAAGGAAGGCCCATGTGTCCGTGGGCCTTCCGACCTCCCCCCTCCCCACCACCACCTAGTGATTAGCCCGGCATTTCTCAAAGTGTCTATCAAATGTGAACTCCTGGGAGATGCACTGTAATGTCAAGGTTACACATGTGAGAACCTTATAAAAACATCAACACCATGAGAGAAAATAAGGCTTTACCATTTAGAAAGGGCTGAGACACCCCGGTGCCCCAAGACTGAGGCGAGCCCATGCTCCTGCCTCAATCTCACCAGGTGAGTGACTGAGGACCCACAAGCAGGCCAAGTTGGAGTGCTGGACAGACACTGAACAGTCCTAAAGGGATGCTGTGGAGGTAAAGATCCAAGTCTATACAAAAGTCTTTATTTTAACATTTAAAAGGAAGAATCACATGTTCATTCTGACAGCGTTACCAGACTGGGCCACCCGATAAGTTACACACACACAGGACTGGGAAGGTTATTGCACAGTGTTTCAAGGGTCGAGGCAGGACTAGGCATGACCCCCTTCCCCACAGCCAGGCTCTGAGTCCGTCTTCCACAAGGACGCCTTACTCCAAACAAGCTGCGGGGTGGCTGCCCTCAAACCTTGCCTCCAGATTGATTCTATAACCAGTGAAGTCATCAGCACAATTTCTCATGGCTGCTCCCACTGCTGCAGAGTGTCGTGTCTGTAGAAGTGGGACTCCGAGCACTGCCTGCCCAGCAGCAGCATGTCCTGTAGAGTCTTGATGGCGGGCAGGCCGCAGGGAGACACTCCAGCAGCCTGCTCCAGGACAAGGCAGCCCTGGCCTAAGGATCTCTGCCTGCAAAGATTAAGATTGTTTGCTAGTTGATTCTTTTTTCTGACAACTTGATGGTTTTGAGTTGGCTGTGATCCAGGGGTGTTCAAGTACTTCTTTGAGGGTGGGCCTCTGGCTGGGATTGTGCTTCAACAGTCTTGAAATGAGGTCCCTGGCTCCCTCGGGCACGCAGTCAGGGAATGTGAATTCCACCTGGATGAGTACACAATAAATGACAAGAGTCACCAACGTGGCTCAGAAAGAACACGAGAAATACTCAGATCATAGCGTCACAGGAGGCTGATAAGGAAGGAATTCTAACAGAACGATGGGTCCCTTTGTAGTGAGACCTTACCCGTGATATTCTTCTGTAGGTCTCCTGGTATGTGTCTGCCTCAAAAGGAGGCTTGCCGACGAGGAACTCATAGCAAAGCACCCCAAGGCTCCAGAGGTCCACTTTCTCATCGTGCATCCGGCCCTCAATCATCTCAGGGGGCAGGTAGTCCAGCGTGCCGCAGAGAGTGGTCCTCCTGAAAACAGGCAGGCTCAGGTTGACATGCTACTGTTTCTGTTATCACAATAGCTGCTCAAAGTCACCAACCATTCCACTAACACGAGCGCTTTTCCTAGGCTAAATCCTGTGCTACAAAGCAGGTGCTATTATAAATCCGTTTTTAGACGGGGTGCTGTACCAGACCTCACAGCTAGCAATCATGTGGCACCCTAAATATGTCTAATTCCAGAACTCCCTTAAAATGATAGATTTAAAGTATCACCACTATGAAACTGTGTGAACAACTAGGGAAATTTGAACATGGACTAAATAATAGATATTAACAAGACTAGGTTTCTTAGGTGTGATAATGGTTGTGATTATACAGGACAATGTCCTTATTTTCAGGACGTGCCTACTACTGAAGCACTCAAAGGATGAAGCATGCTGTCTGTCACTTATTTTTGAAGGTTCACCAAAACGTAGACACACTCAACATGGTAAAATGTTAACAACTGTTGGGAGTGTAGGCACTGAATAGGCAGGTGATCAATTCAGCGTGTCTGTTTTTATAACAGAGATTGGAAACAGACGTCAAAACAGGAGCAAAGGCTAGGCAGATTTTGCTGCCTTGTACCAGTTATTCTTTGGTGCCGCTGGTGTCCAGCGAACACACAAATGTTCAAGCTCGCCTAATGGAGCTGCCGCTGTAGACTCCTAGCCTCTCATCACCACTGGATTCGGGAGAAGGCCCAGATCAAGAGCCTCAGAAGACAGCACAGTAATCTGAGAGCTCCTACAGTTAACCAGTATGGGAAGCCGGGCCAAGTGACCAACATTTTATATAATATTCTCTTTAGAAAAGGATCAGCCATCTTTCCTGTCGTGATGACACCACTGGGCGGGCCAAGGTCCAGCTTAGCCCTGTGATGCTACAGCCATTGCTGTTTGCCTCACTAGAGGCCAACAGCTCCCACTTGTGACAACCAGATTTTTTTTTTCCCCAAAAAACAAAAAGAGACTGCAATAGCAGACTCAGTGCCTTGCTGGAAACAATTAGGAGTGATCTGTATCAAAAACAAATCTCACACTCAACAGTATCCATTCTGGACTACACAGTTTTTTTTAACTGGGTTTAAAGTAATCCGGTTATAATTTTTTTAAGACCTACCCCAAAGCTGACAAACTCTTAGCAGTAGATGTATGCTTTTAATTGCCCTACTTCACACATGGTTTCAAAAGCTCATTGAAACCCAACTTAAAAACAGGAGAAAATGTTTTAGCTCTGTTTGCAAAGTTCACTTAAATTGTTTCATTAGGTTGACCTCTCTTCTTTAAGAGGAGATAGGAAAGGACTGCTCTGTTGACAGGAGCAGACCAAAAAATCTTTAACCACCACCCTGAAAGTTCCATCCAAACTAGTTTGGTTCCTTTAAGCTCTCAGTTCTAGAGCTCTGCAGGTGCTGCCCTCAGAACTCGTAGAACTCGTGTCTCCTGGCCCAGGAGGCAGTGGCGTTTCCCTCCCACACTCAGTCAGGTATTATTCCCCCTCTGCACACTGCATTTCATCCTGTGATACACCTGTCATATCTTTTGCCTATCTGTCCCCTTCATTGGCCTCTAAGGATAGTATGCACTTTTAACCCCAGGATAAACATCCACAAATGGCTGCACAGTAAAAATGATCTTGAAGACACTAGTTTCCTGCCTGGCCTAAATTACTCCAAAGCATGTGTGTCAGTTACCTGACCCAACTGTCCACAACATCTATGCTTATGTTTACTTATAGTAAACATTTTACTTATTCAGCTCATTAGTCCCCACCCAGGCTTTTGCTAAACCAGACAAACAAGTTCCATCTCTGAAGTTACATACCTGGAGGATGGGGCATGTACCGACCACCCAAAATCTGCGATCTTAAGCTCTCCAGCTGATCCAAGGAGCAGGTTCTCTGGCTTAATGTCTCTGTGAATAACTCTCTTTGAATGACAGTAAGACAAGGCATTTGCCAATTCTGTGATATACTATTAAAACAAAAAATATTGGAAATCTGTTTTAGATTTATAGAACACAAGTTAATTTTAGATATCTCTTCTAAAAGGAAACTCAACATAGATTTTAACATGTTTTGTAGATTTGAAAGCAAAAACTAGAGACAGCGGACGACTCTACGAGAAAACAAACCAATTTAGTGTTCAGCATGAAGTACGAGTGACTCTGTGCTAGGTTATTTGCTAACATAGCAGGTGCGACACCAAAAGAAAGGAGACCAGCAAGGTACCACTACATCCCCACCAGGCAATTTATGGCCCGGCAGTCATGAATTATGACAATATTGAAAAACTGGTACAAATGAGGGAGTCAGACCTGTGAACAATTTTTAACATTCTTAAAAAAGAAAAACTTTAAAGTATAGGACCATTATAGTCCATTTCCATTTTTAAAACTAAGGCAAAATTACAACAAAAGGGTTTGTTTGAAGCTATAAAGTTACTCTAAGAGCATCAGAGGAAAATTATCCTGAACAATAAACTAAAAGCAGGTGTTCTGGCATGCTAAGTAGTGGGTTAAATTAAGGGGCACACGATATACTAATTCATTCGTCAGGTTCAGGTACACAAGCCAGTCAGTCCTTTCATTCGTTCTGTTTCCATTTCAATTAAAAGATCTGGCAAGCAAGCCCAGGATTTGCTTTAACATGTAAATGAGAATTGTTTTCTAGTATGTTGAAAGAATATATTTAGTTCTGACTGAAGTTTGAGAAGTGTTGGTTTCTCAAAAAGTAATTCTAAACAGGACTGAACATTATGTTATACCAAAAAGGTTTACCAAATGAAGGGGTAGAAACCAGATGTTATCATCAGAAAGGACATTTTTCATTGCTTTCAGCCAAAAGGCAGAGACCAAACTTTAGACCATACACTTAAATAAACTATAAATAAACTGAAAGCAAATGCAAAGAAAGCTTGTCTCCTGCACCAAAGTGGGTGATACAGTACGATTCCAGAGGACAGTGGGCTGCTCCTGCTCAAACCCGGCAGGAACCAGCACTCTCTGCATCCACCCCCTCCACACACCCACATTAAGATTACAGATTATGTATAAAGGTCCCTAACACTTCTCCAGAACTAGTTTTAATTAATCAGGAAAGAAAAACAGGTGTGTGTGTGTATATAAACTATTAAGGAATCTAGAAAGAACAAATCTTTTACTTCCTTTCAAGCAGCTATCTGTTTATATCAAAGTAAACTCCACTGGATTGAAGAAAACTGAGTACAAACATTACTTGCCAATCAAATAAGAAACTAGCTTGGCTAGTTAATATTTAAAAGCAAATAAAATAGATTTCTACTTATCCAAAGGGCAAATATTTAAGTTGAAATAGTATGTCCTCATTGCACAGACAGGACCAGAGGTCATTCACCAACAGTGCTGTGATTTCAGTAGAAGATAAAAGTAAAACCACTTGAATTTAATGCCATTTAGATCAATGCCAAAAAGATAAGTGTACATACTACCCAGAGACCTCCACCAAGAAACAGAACAATGTAACCACCATTCTACAGGCCCTTCATCTGCTAATTCAACAAAAAACAGTCCAAATTAAGACAACTTCTTCAGACAGTTTTCACATTAATAAAGAAGAGTACAATCCATGGGAAAAAAAGAAAAAGGCAAAACAAAAACCTGATATGTTGGATTTTAAGATTAAAAAATGCCTGCCCTTGAAAGACACAGTTAAGAGAAGGAAAGAACAAGCCACAGACTGGGAGAAAATGTTTGTAAAACACGCGATAAAGGACTCAGATCACAAACACACCGGAATTCTTAAAAGTCAGTAAGACAACAGCAACAAGAAAATTTTCAATAGGCCAAAGGTCTGAACCTGGGTTCGATCCCTGGATTGCAAAGATCCCCTGGAGAAGGGAAGGCTACCTCCTCCAGTATTCTGGCCTGGAGAATTCCATGAATTATACAGCATAGTCTACTATACTGTATAGTCCATGGAGTCACAGAATTGGACATAACTGAGTGACTTTCACTTTCAAAGGTCTGAGCAGACCTCAAAGATGCTATAGAGATGGAAAGTAAACACCTGAAAAGATGCTGAACCTTGTAGGTCATTAGAGAATTGCAAATTAAAGCGATGAGACAGCACTGTACACCGACTGGGAAGACTGAAAAAAGCAGAACAGCACCACTTGCTGGTGAGGAGCCACACTTATTCTCATGCGTGGGTGGGATGCACAGATGGTAGGCATCCCCACTGCAGAAGACTGCTGACAAGTTTCTACAAAGCGAAACATAGACTTACCAGACAAGCCAGCAAGCACACCCCTAGGTATTTACCCAGCAGATATGAAAACTTGTGTCCCACAAAAAGCCGCATGCAACTGTTTATAGCAGCTTTACTCGTAATCAAAGACTAGAAGCAACCTAAGATACCCTTCAACAGATGAAGCAATAAACCAAGGTAGAGCCATATGATGGAGTATTAGTCACCAGTAAAGAGAAATGAACCATCAGACCCTGAGAGGATACAGATGAACCTCAAATGCATACGGTTGTTTCCCATGGGGGTAACTGGTTAACAATTCTTTTTTTTTTTTAATTAGTTGGAGGCTAATTACTTAACAATATTGTAGTGGGTTTTGTCATACATTGACATGAATCAGCCATGGAGTTACATGTATTCCCCATCCCGATCCTTCTGGCTCTTCCCAGTGCACCAGGCCCGAGCACTTGTCTCATGCATCCAACCTGGGCTGGTGATCTGTTTCACCCTAGATAATATACATGTTTTGATGCTGATCTCTCGAAACATCCCACCCTTGCCTTCTCCCCCAGAGTCCAAAAGTCTGTTCTGTACATCTGTGTCTCTTTTTCTGTTTTGCATATAGGGTTATCATTACCATCTTTCTAAATTCCATATGTATGTGTTAGTATACTGTAATGGTCTTTATCTTTCTGGCTTACTTCACTCTGTATAATGGGCTCCAGTTTCATCCATCTCATTAGAACTGATTCAAATGAATTCTTTTTAATGGCTGAGTAATATTCCATGGTGTATGGTTAACAATTCTGATACCATCACACATGAACACTGGAATTGGATAAACAGATGGCCGATGCTGGAATCCAAGTTTCTCAGTGTTGGAGTGGAGGTTACGATAAGCAAGGGAGGAAGGTAAAGTGATCCATGTGATAACGTACTCATGTTTACTATAGATACAGGTGGGTAATTATAAATACTTTTAGATACATGCAAATACCGAGATTACAATACACACATCTCAATGCTCTCTTTCAGCTGAAAGCCCAGAAGTAGTAACAGTAGCAATGAGCACATCCAGCACCCAGATCAAGGCTTCTAATAACATTTTCCAATAAAAGGAAGCAAAGCTCCTTGGAGAAATAATGAATTCTAAGACTTAGAAAATGTATAAGATGAAGTTGGAGCACGTTATAGCACTGACAAACAGAAAGTGTTTTTAAAGAAAACACAGGCTCACACTCCCCACAATGATGGGGACAAGTCAGGACACAGGCCCTGTGTAAAAGAGCACCCGTGGCCAAATCTGGAACGAACAATGAGAGCAAAGTGCTATTAGATTATCCTCAAAGTATAACGTATCTGAGCCCATATTCATAAATATTTGAATAAATCAATAAGGGAGAAAAGAGAGCTCTGTGGTACAGAATTCCAAATAATGTATGCCCTGCCCTGTAGAAGAGCTGTTCCTCTGAAAAGGGAGAGAGAGTAACTCTACAGAGGAGACACCTGACGAACACTACCCCAGCTGGGTGGTCAAGACCAACACCTGGGGATGAGTCAGGTCGGCAGCTTGTATCCTTAGAGAATGCATTTCACCTCTGACCTTCCTCCCCAAACCCATGACCCTAATCTAATCATGAGAAACAAAGGAAATCTGAATGTACGTGTGGATTTCAGTCAATAGTTATATACTAGTGGTCCATTAGTTATAACAGTTGTACCACACAGATATAAAATAGTAATAGAAGTCAGATGTGCATAGGAAAAGTCTGCACTATCTTCAATTGTTCTGTAAATCTAAAACTAATCAAAAATACATTCTTCTCTTTTTAAACAGGGTAACTACTTTTATATATTTCCACAGAAACAGCTGTGGAAACCAACCACAAGATTTCACTTGGTAGTTGATTTTATCTGTATATAAGGTACACCGAAGCTACTCTGATTTTCCCATTTCAAATATTTGATTCTATTAAGCCAGTGGTCCCCAACCTTTTTGGCACCAGGGATCAATTTTGTGGAAGATAATTTTTCCACAGACCTGGGGTAGGGCAGATGGTTTCAGGATGATTCAAGTACATTACATTTATTGTGTGCTTTATTTCTATTATTACATCAGCCTGACCCCAGATCATTAGGCATTAGATCACAGAGGTTAGGGACCCCTGTATTAAGCTAGCTTTCCATGGAACAAAGCCCCCTCTATTATATAATGAAAGGTACAGCGCTATGTAGGACAGGTATAGAGTAAACAGAATTAGTCTGGACAGTAAATGAAAACTCACCGTGGCAGTTCTCTGCTCATCAAACTTTGACAGTTTCTGAAGTTCTCTATAGACAGCTCCGAGGGGTGCATATTCTAAAATTAAGTAGACTCTGGTAGCATCATGGAAATAACCATACAGTCTGAGAATATTTGGATGCCTGCAATGAAAGATGGACACCTAGTATGGGAGTTCATCTGTACTGAGTATCAGATCCCTCATGTGAAACCAGTGGTGAGAACTGCTGCTGGTCACAGATCCCACCTTCCGTTCCCCTTGAAAATGTGAAACTATGAACCCACTGTAAGAAAAAGACGCACATTGCTATCAATTTACATGCATTTCAAGGTATTAATGAACCTCAGGTTTAGTTTAGACTATTTCCTTCCTTTGGACCATCCCTATTCTTAGGGAAAAAGAATTCAGCTAAATATTGTCTCCGCAAATTGAAAGGAAAAAGAAAAAAAAAAGACATGCCATTCCCACAGTAGTTTGAAACTCAAATACCATGAGACAGACAACACAGACCATGTTCAATAACAGCAGGAGATGTGCTATGGAGGACTTTGGACAGCTGAGCACAGGCTAGCTGAGATTTTTTTTAAATTCACTGAAAACAAAAAGACCCAAAGTCAACCTGTAGGCTGCCAGTGTGCAACCTGAACTCAAAATAAGAGGTATCATTCCTTTAATTATTCACCAAAACAAAACTCATCCAGTAAATTACTCCATTAACAAGACAAACCTTCAAGCAATTTTTCCGAACCACAGCAGTTAAGTCTAGATAAATCTTTGAAAAAATGATGAATTTGCAGTACTATGAAGCCAGCCTTCCACAAGAAGTTCACAAACACTGAAGTCCGAGTTCTGCCCCCCACTACCCCGGACATCATCTGAAGGCTTACCTGAGATGCGACTGTATTTCTACTTCTCTTCTCAGCTGATGCTCAACGCCTGCCTTCTCCAGCTGAGCTTTGAATAATACTTTAAGAGCCAGAATAAACTTGCTTTGTTTTTCTCTCGCCAAATAAACATTACCAAACTTTCCTTTACCCAGTGGGCGACCAATTTCAAAATCTTCCAAAGCCCACTGCCTTCTGGGGAAGAATTGAACATTTTAAAGTGTGAAGAAAACACATCCTTTCTAATGAGGTATATTAATGAGTAGCAGACATCCCAGGACTATAAATAATTCTATACTGAAAGTTATCTTCAGCACGTATCCTCGGCAAGAACCAAACCACAGCCTCCTCTGAATGAGTCTGTGACAGGGAAAAATCTGGACTTCTGGAGCTGAGGCACTTGCTGGGAAGTGTCCTGAGACAGTACTATGCTCTGAGCACAGACCTATTAACAACGATGCTAAGACCATAAGGAGGATTAGCTGAGGAACTGGAGAAGGAAGAAGGCTCCAGAAACAACTGGGAGCCTCTTTCAAATGGCCTCCTCTAGCCGTGGAGACACCACCACTCTCTGGGGTGGTGAACCACTCTGGGAAAGCGAGCAGGATGGAGCCTACAGGACAATGGGCTCAGAACCACTGGATGAGACTCTCAGAAAATTTCTGGTAGGCAGCTAGAGCAAAAAAGGCTGTGGGTTTGCTCTACATGCCTACCAGAAACTTTCTGAGTCTCATCCAGTGGTTCTACCTTCTATTACATGCTAGAGTCTAGACAGTTGAGAGACTGAGAGCAAGGGAAAATACAGCCAAGCTTTATTATGAAGAATATAGTAATTGTATCAATACTTCCAAAATACTCTACAGTCAAGTATTTGTCCATAGGGCTGCAAGAGGACCACATTTTGTTGCTTAACTTCCACCTTTATTAGAAGTAGTAGAGAAGTATACATAAACTGTATGTAGTAGTTACTTCTGAGGGTAGAGAGGTAGTTTTACTTGATTTCTGTAACAGATTCTAAGTCAAATATGTCTTTTCTAAGTGTGAAAAGCAGTAAGAAAAACTCGAGTCTCTCATAAACATTATTAAAATTCCTTCTCTCTTTGAAGATTTAGAAAATACAGATGTTTCAAATTTCCAAGTGAAAATACAAAGGCCTATTTTTAACAAGTGTTCCTATAACTAAATTTGCAATTAAATGACATTAGTAGGTTCTAGTAGAATGATGGTACAGAACTTTGTACATAAGATAAAACTTACTTTTTTGATTCTTCATTTTTTTGTTTTGATGCCACTTCCTTCTCAGGATTATTTCCTAAATAGAATAAGTTAACAATCTTTGATTAGAGATGAATCAAAGAGTGGTCACCAAAATATCAATGGTGTGCCCAGAATGACAGATCTGGATTATTTTTGGTTTTATTTTAAAAAGGAAAAAAAAGACGAGTACACTGTAACCTGAGTCCTGCCATCTGAAGTCTGTATAGAGCTTTGAAAGTAAAGATAAGCAGATACATCATAGGCCCATAGATAATCTAAAACCTCAAGGCTGTGTAGATTCTCCCTGGAACCTCAGTTTCTAAATGAAGAGCTTCTAAAGCAGAGTTACCAGTCTCCCATCCATAACAACTCATCACCTCTTCCCCAGGAAGTGGGTCAGCATCAGACAATGTGCAGCAAAACATGAGCCAACCACCACCCTCCTTCCACTGTGTTAGTGGCCAAGGGGAAGTTACACTGGACATTTCTACTTGCATATTTCCAGCAGTTCAACCTCCAACAGCAGCACAGTTTGCTCTGGTGAGATATTTGAATTCAGGTCTAAACTGTAGTCTTTCCCTCCACGGTTCACAATCTCGGTTTAATGATTTAATGCCACCAGTATAACCACCACCCTCATGTCTGGCTTACTGCCCCATTCTGTCAAGCTGGCATCTTAAGTGAGCTCTCAGATCTGTCTGAATCATTCTGCCCTGGCTGTATTTGAATAAGTTAATGCTTCAAAGTCTTAGCTTCCTCCTCCACAAAATCGAGGTAGAAACTATGGTTGCCTCTGTAGAGTGCTTACGAGGACAGAATGACACAATGTGGATGAAGGAAGCTTGCTATGGAGCACTCGACAATTGGTAAAATTTAATAATTATTAACACCGACCCAGCTCAGGCCCCTGCAATATTGGACCCGAACCCCAGTGGCCTCCCTCCTACCTGGTACCCCTGGGTCCAGCATTGCTACTCTTCAATTCATCCCACACATCCAGATAAGCTTTCTCTAAGAGGCAAGTCAGCCCCTCCTCTGCCCAAAAACCTTTCAGCAGCTTCCCAGCACATAGGGGATGAAGCCCTGCACCCCGAGGCCAGCAGTGCCCACCCCAACATCGCCCTGCCTGCCTCAGTCCACTCACTCTCCCAACCCCCAGCATCTCCCTCCATGCTCCAGAACCTTGGAATTTTTCAGTTCCAAGTGTACTTGCTAAAAGAACCCCCTTTGCCCCAATAAGCAATCCAAAGAATATGGGGCTGCTGCTGTGTCTTCCCTGACTGCGACCTCTTTCAGGAGGGTGGGAGTCAGGCCTGGCCCATAGGAGACTTGTTACTTCACCCCGACATCAGATCCTCTCCCCATCCTCAGTAGAAATGACATAAAAGCTAGGGTTACAAACAGTAAACGTGCATCTGTATAGTGGGTTGTTTTTTTTTTTTTTAGCAAATAAAAGAATGGCTCTCCAATGAGCCCAAGAAGACTGCTTACCAGGTGCTGGTGGCTGGGGTTGTTTGCTCTTCTGGGTGTTACTTGGCAGCCTGGAGACAGGACGAGGGGCGCTGGCTGCCTGCGGGGGCTTCTGCTTCAGGGTCTGTACTGGTTTCTGGATGGAGACGAGCTTCTGTGCTTGTGAAGGAACACGCTGTGAGGAATTTGCGGGACACAGGACACGCTGAGCCTGGCCGCTGTTTGCAGACGCCGGATTCTGAGAGGGAAGCTGCTGAGCCACTGGAACACGTTTTGGGCCATCACTCAGTGGGACTGCAGTCTAGACGGGGGAGGAAAAAGGAACGTTATGGTCTTCATGAAGGAAAGCTGAGTATCTTGAGAGTATTCCCAAGGTCTATCTTCCAGTACCGCAATATAATGACTGTCACTGATAACAGATGGGCAGGGAAACTGACTGGAATCAGCACTTGCAGAGGATTCAGTTAGTATACGGCTAAAATACCTGAATGACACCTCCTACCTGCTCCCCAACACCCTACCCCTAAAAGTCATGTTCCCATTAAAAAAATGGTCATTAACTATACTTTTATCTAAAAAGAGAGGCATTAAACACTTCCTAAGAATTCTCAGTGACTTGGGAATTATTCTTTAGCAAGAAGCTACAATTCAGAAACTTTATACCAAAACCCCAATTCCATTGAGATTTCTTCAACAATACTTGTATTTTTTCAGTCTTTTCTCTAAACATATCAAATAGTCAATAGTGATTATCTTTGCATGAAGTTTTGTATTTGCCACATGTTCCACAAAAAGCTAATTATATATGTATAATTTTTAAATAATGATAAGCACAGTTTTAATAGTCCCAAAAGCTAATTACTATTGATTTACTAGTGTTTCAGTTTCCAAGTACTCACAAAATGGATCTGAGGCAAAAGAGGAAACAAACACAGGCTCTTCAAAAATTTAGAGCAAAATAAAAGTTACAGTGAGAGAAGCAACAGAGCCTTGTTGAATGCTGAGAAAAGCAACGAGTTCCCACCCAGGGACGCAGTGGAGGAACCACAGCCATATCTCAAAGGAAAGGTGAGAACAACTCTAGACTTAAACTCAACTTCCCTTTGGGTTTTATAAAAGGGATCTGAGATTCCAGATTATTCAACTTACCTTAGGCCCTGAGATGCAGTTTTCTTTACATCTGTCCATGATGCCTGAAAAGAAAAAAGAACCACCTTTAATTTGTAAAAATCCATCGGCTTCAAAGTGTCACACTGGATCAGGGTTAAAAATCCTGATGAAAAAGCCTCTGCATCACACAGAATTTTACATGGTTTGTTGTCCAATGAAGGCTGATAAGGAAGCAGCATTTTCTCCTGTGATAGAGGACAAGCATGAGGCTTAGACCAGGTTCAGGTGTGGGGCCTTTTTCTCCCCTCACACACTGCATCCCATCCTCTCCCCGCTCTGGCACTCCAACCCCACTCCTGAACTGTATTGCCCCTCTCTCCAATCATCTCTGTAATGAATCCCTTCCACCAGTCTACAGGCCGGCTTCCTTAAGTGATGCCTTAAAAAAAAAAAAAAGTCCTCTTTACCCTTACATTGACTCAAATTATGACCACATCTCTGGCCTCCCCTTTCAGCAGCAGAACTGGGCAACAGTTGTCTCTATCACTTCCCTCACCAGGCTGCAGGCTCCCTCCCACAGGGTTTTCATCCCCACCAGGCTCCAGGCTGACCTCACTAGTTGCCAGACCCAAAGGTCAATTCTCAGCCTTCCTCTCAGGAGCATTCCTGGCATTCCAGGGGGTCCTGCACTTTATTCCTGCACAGACTTATCTCCTGCCTTACTAGCTGTCCCAAGGCAAACAACTTTGCTGATGACCCTCACCTGTGCCATCAATCTCAGTGTCTAGGGTAACCGTGGAAGGGATTCCCCACTCTCTGTCTACACCTTCCTAGGGCCCCAGAGCTCTAAACATCTCTATTAGGAGAATGTGAATTGGTGTCTTCTGCCCTCTCCTCTCCTGCCAGGCTCTCTATCACCTGCTGAGGATGCCCCAGGAAAGCCTGCCAAGCATCTCAACTCAACACACCAAATGAAACCTCTTCTTCCCAGGCTTTCAATACCATCCTCAGGCTGAGGACCCCCAAATTTCCATCTCGAGTCCAAAGCTCTCCTCTGAACTCCTACCACCTGGTAATCTGAATGGCATCTCAATCTTAACCTGTCCCCAACTGGCGTCCTGCTTCCTCCCAACCCGCATTCCCCTTAACCTGCTCTCTCCATCCTACCAGTTGCTCAAGTCTAAAGTCTTCTAATCTTTTACATGGTTCTCCCTCAAACCCTGTATCTAAGCCATCAGCGAATGCTACAGGCTTTATTTTGAAAACCACTGCTCACAACCTTTCCTACTCCCACCTGGTCAAACCACAATTTTCTCTCCCTTCAATTATTTGCAAAAAGCTCCCAGTGGTCACTCTGCTTCCACCTTTGCCCCATTATGGTCCATTTGCAACACTGTGCCCAGTGATCCCTCTAACAAGTCAGATATATTGATCCTTGCACCAGAGAAACCTTTATCCATTTCTCTTGCTCCCTAAATTCTAGAATCCAATCAGAAAGTACTCTTCAGACCCCAACTTTCACATCCACTTTATAAGCAAACAAATAACTCCACCTGCAAGAGGAGACCAGACTAAAGAATCTGGAGCCCTTATATCAAACAGCCATTCGGAAATAGACAAGAAAAGGAGATACATTCTCATATCATGTGAACGGTAATTTCACCCATGCTGTGGTGCCTTCTTCACTCTCCCTGACAGTTACAAGCAGCTGACTCATGAGATCACATGGCTCTACAGACACTGGTTCTGTAGAAGCCACCAATGTTCATTCACTCAAGGTAATAAAGTTTTCCTTCTCAGGAAGAATAACGGAACAGAATGGACTAAGTCTCTGATTCAGAATTCTGCAGAGAGCCACAGGAAGACAGTTTCTCAGGTGATTCTGGACTCCAGCCAAGTTCGAGAAACTCTTGTCCAGACGACCTGCATAAGATCCCTGCACCTCAAACTGGAGATCCTACTAGTCTACATAGGAAAGCAGATTTAATAGCACTGTGGGTGGAGACTTTTCCTTCCTTCATCAAACCTGCAAATTATCTGCACATATGAAAGAGTGTGGAAAGGAAATGAGTATGCTGCTGAAAAACATTTAATTCAAACAACAAGGAAGGTTAAGGATGATAAGAAAACAGTGAAAGTCAAGGATGGTAGACACATTTACATCAGGAGGACAACTGTTAGAAATGCAGACTTTGGAGCCCAACTCTAGACCTAACAAATTAAGATCCTGCATTTCAAAGACATCCCCAGATGACCAGTATACCCCGGGCATACACTAGTTCTCAATGAAACATCAGAATCACCTGCAGAGCTTGATAAAAATACAAACACCTGAGTCTTACACCCAAGCACTTCTGATCCCTTGCCTGCATAGGTCGAGTCTAACTCTGCAACCCTATGGACTGTAGCCTACCAGACTTCTCTGTCTATGGGATTCTCCAGGCAAGAATACTGGAGTGGGTTGCCATGCCCTCCTCCAGGGATCGAACTGAGTCGCTTCCAACTCCTGAGGGTTCTTTACCACCAGCGCCACCTGGGAAGCCCCTCTGATCCCTTGCTGCTAAGTCACTTCAGTCGTGTCCAACTCTGTGCGACCCCATGGACCGCAGCCTACCAGGCTCCTCCGTCCGTGGGATTTTCCAGGCAAGAGTACTGGAGTGGGGTGCCATTGCCTTCTCCGTCTGATCCCTTAGGTGGGTTCATATTTTTAACTAGAACGCTCAAGTAATCCTGATAAAGGTAGTCCGGGGTCTACGGTTTGAGAAGCACTGGCTTCCAGGTTTATTTATTCACCCACTCATCCATCCTGCCCGGACATGGGCCTTTCCTGGCTAGTCTATTCAAACTAGCGCACTTCCTAGTACAACCCTATCGGAAGTTATCTTGCTAGTTTATCGTCTGTCTCCTCACCCCCCACCCCTAGAACGTAAATTCCAAGACGGCAAAAAAAAACATTCTGCATTCTTTCTTACCCAGGTGCTCACTTAACAAGAGAATCCCATTAGAAAGCAACGCCCCCAACCCCCATCCCAACAACCCCATTCACTCCAGGTGTTCAATAAACACTAGGCGGCATGTTACAGGGCAAATCGGCATCCGAGCACAGAAGGGAGGGTGCAGGGAAAGCGCGGGGGAGGGGGCGCAGGGAGGAACGGGGCGGGAGGGGGGGGAAGGAAGCTCCCTGCGCCCCGACCTCCCCTCGTTGACCCAGCAGTTCCCAAGACCGCTTCCCTCCCACCAACCTGCAAAGGCCACCATGCATCCGCCTGCTCGCCTGCTCGCCCGCCCGCCTGCCTGCCAGCCAGCCGCACAGAGATTCCCAGGTCTACGCACCTGTAGACTCCCACCTCCGATGCAAGGAAACCAAGTCCTCCCGAGAGCTCAGCCGTTAAGATTCAAAGTCTTCATTTTAAATAGGAGTTAAACCCTCTATTCCGAAGGCTGATTGGTCGGGGCTAGAGAGGCGCTGCCTTTTCATTGGTTCAAAGCTAACTCTACAGCTTCTGCCCCAGGCAGGCGGAGAAGGCGCGCAGGCGCACTTGCTCCGTAAAGCCCCGGAAGTGGTGGAGCCAACGGCCCGACACACCCGTGGCCGTTCTAGCGCCCGCGGTGTTCTCTGGATCTAATATTTGTCCGTAAAGCACCAGTTCCTTGGCGTCAGGGTTGTCGCAGGGTAGATAAAGTTGAAGGAGGTGAGCGAGTCTTTCGATCGTGCCCGTAAGTAAGATGGCGAGAAGGGCAGGAGCAAGTTGAGGGATGCGGATCGATAGCGCAGCGCTCGGCGCTACGTCCTTTGCGCGTGCGCAGTGAACGTGCGCACGGAGCGATTGATCGGGCAGGATTGGCGCCTCCATTTTTCTGAGAGAGCGGGAGACCGAGAGAGCGGGACCAGCGGGTATGGAGAGCCAGGGTTGCGTGGAGAGTGGCTGGTGCGGTCGGCTGGGACCTTTAGGGGACCATCGTGAGGACCAGGGCGGGGCGGGAAGGGTCATTAGTGAGCGGGGTGGCGTGCGCCCTGAGTTGCTGGGCTTGGCCTGCACGGTCCCTCCTTTTCCATAATGGCCTTGCTCACACTCTCCCTTCCATCCTTCGTTGGCCTCTAGGTCGGGGTCATAGCGGAGCGTTCGGTGAGGGGGCGTCTGTGTTCTCGCCTTGGTCCTTCTTCCAGGTCCAGGTACCACTTGTCCTGCAGTGGGCTCTTCCTCCCCTCGGGCTGTAGCCCCTTCATCTGCCAATTTGGGGATAGTAATTACCTGCTTACTAGCCCAGCGAGCGAAAGTTTTATGGGAGTTAAGCGGGGTTCGTCCTCTCTTTTCTTATTTAATCTCTTGGTACGCCGGTTGATGCGCCTAACATAAGTGAAGAGACAGGATGACAAAGCCACATTTTCCTTACAGTGTTCACTGATTTCTTTGAGCGGCTTCATCATCTCTGTTGTGTCCTAGTGTTTACACAGCATGGATTTATATGTATCTGCTCAGCCCCCATCAGTACAGCACAGTGAGAGCACCGGCTCTGGGTTAGGATCCAGGCTCTGCCATTTACATACAACCTGTTGAATCCTGGGGGAGTTAACCTTTCTGGGCCTCCAGTTGCCCACCTCTAAAATGGGATTAAATGAAGGTTGAATGAGGTATGCATATTTGTTGCTTACACCATGTGTATTACGTCCTGTGGCCTGGCGTGCATGCTTAGTCACGTCAGACTCTTGTGACCCCATGGACTATAGCCTGCCAGGCTCCTCTGTCCATGGGATTTCCCAGGCAAGCACACTGGAGTGGGTTGCCATTTCCTCCTCCAGAGGATCTTCCTGACTCAGGGATTCAACCTGGCAGGCGGGTTCCTTACCAGTGTGCCACCTGGTTATATGCTGTACTGAATGTCTAAGGAATTTTAGCTAGCTTTATTAATATCATTAAGGTTTTAAGGAATAGTACAAGCAGCGGTTAGTAACAACACAGTCTCTAGAGTCAAACCTACATTCCAATCCTGATTCCTCCCAGTTCTGAGACCTTGGGCAGGTTATATCCCCTCCTCGCCTGTAAACATGATTACTGGATCAACAAGATGACTGGATCTCTTTTGCAGGATGTAGTTGAGGTTTGAGATGAAACATGGTCAGCACCCAGTAAATGTTAACTGTTCTTATGATCAGTAGCCTCAGTAATTCTCCAGAGGGCATTGTGTAGTTAAAAACATTGTTCCCCACTGCTTTACTGCAATCTCCCACTTTCAGAATTACCCCTGTGTAGTGCAGCAGTACCAGGAGGTACTGGTGTTAACAGACTGCTGACCACCCTTATTATTCTTATCTCTCCTGTGGTCTTTCAGTTTTCTTTGCCACAGCCACCTGTCTGCCAATGACTTATTCTTTATTGTTGTTTCCCATCTCCAGTGTCTACAGACCTACACATATGTACAAAGGTAGATTTTTTAATCAGATTATCTAATCATGTTCACCAGTTGGAGTTTTTTTTTTCCCCCATAAACTCAAAAACCAACCATTATTTACAATTTTCTCTTTTGCTTTCTTGAGACTGAGAATTTGTAAATCAAAGTGCACAGTCCTTCCAGTTTTTCCATTTTTTTAAAGTAGTTGTTTTCACCATATCCTGTTCACAAATATTTTATTAAGCAATGCTTTGCAAAGCATTCAACTTGACTTAGTTTTCATTGCATGATAGCTTTTTTGCCCTAATGTTTTGATTTACTATCTAATTATGTAACATAACAAGCTCCATTGTCTTAAAAAGTATTTTAAGAATAACCATAACTGACCTTAATAAATGTAACAGCTTAGGCTGGTGGAAACAGTAGTGTCTGGGCATCCACAATAGCAGCTCTCTTACCTATTGCAACATTACCAGTGTTTTATAAGCAGAAGAAATGGAAGATTCTGGAGATTGCAGTGAAGAATTAAAGTCACGCATGGCTAATTTGGCAAAGAAACAATGATGAAGAGAGGTCTAGCTGTAAATGTTGGCTGACACGTTTTGAGCTGTTTGTGTGCCACTGTGCACAAAAGAATCTACATGTACCATCATGTTTAACCTTCACTCACTTTTGAGAGCTGAGGCCCCTGATCTCAGAGAAATATAGTTGCCAACCAAAGAGAATGCTGCTAGAGCTGAGATTTAAACCCTGAAAAGTCTGACCAGATTCCTGTGTTGCTTCTGTGGTTTACTCCTGCCTTTGCCCTTCATTGTCACCTGTTTTCTCTTCTTACAGCTGGCAGAAAAATTATCTTCCTCTTCTCCAAGATGTACAGAACCAAAGTGGGCTTGAAGGACCGCCAGCAGCTCTACAAGCTGATCATTAGCCAGCTGCTCTATGACGGCTATATCAGCATTGCCAATGGTCTCATCAATGAAATCAAGCCTCAGTCTGTGTGCGCTCCCTCGGAGCAGCTCCTGCATCTCATCAAACTTGGTAACTTGTGAATGCCAGTTCTTCATTGAGCCCAGGACAGTTTCAGATGTTTTTCCAGATGATGGCCCTTTCATTTTAGGGCTAGTATATATCAAGTGCAGTGCTAGATATTGGAGGAGTAAACAAAGTCCAGATTGTGAAGGTTTTGAGCTGATTCTGTCTAGCCTCTGGATCTTTATATGAATTATCTGGTGCTTTCTGCTGTTCTACTTATTATTGCTTCAAATCTCAACTCAAATGTCATCTCAGAGTCTTCCTTATCTCTTCTAAAATAACTTGAACATCTTCCCCATATTTCCCCATTTGCTCTGAAATCACAGTCCTATTTCCCTCATTATAGAATCACTGTCTGAAATTTTCTTTATTGTTTAGAGTTGTTGTTTCCCTCACAATCCTTACCATCCACCGAAAGACTGAAAGTTTAATAAAAACCTTGAACCTTGTCTTGTTCAACAGTGTATCCTGGTGCATGCCTGTGTCATTGGAAGCAATAAGAATTACCATACATGTTTTAAAAAAAAAAAAAAGAATTACTATACATGTTTGTACCCTTTGACTTGGCCATGTAAATTGTGATTAGCCGGGGGAGATAGAATGATTTCCACTGAAATGCCCAACAATATGGAATTGGTTATAAAGGTTCTTGTATCCATAAAATTGGGTCCATCAGTGTGATGTGGATGAACATTTATTACACTGACCAGGTGTTTGTTCTGTATGATTAAATGACCAAGTAAGTCACACCATGTTACATGGTGTGGTTTTATTTTTGTTTTAAGAAATGAAACAGCTGTGTGCATGGAGAAAGGCTCGAAGAATTCATATCACCATGTTAGCAGTAATTATCTCTGGGTGATATATCATACAAGGTTGTGTTTATTTTTTGGTTCATCAGCATTTCTGATTTTTTCTATACTAATCGACATTGTACAATGTCAAGTTATTTTTCAATTCAAAATGCATATTCTTGATTGACTTTATTCACAGCTTAACACTTTTTTCAAAGGTGTTTCACTAGTGCTACTACTAACACTCTGTCTGACTTAATGAGCTTCAAAGCTGCTAATAACAGCTCTTGACATGCAAAATATTAAAATTCAGAATGGGAAAAAGTGGGTGATTTAACTGCAGAAGTGCTTTTTTTTAGCGTGTTTAGTTGTGGTTAAAGTAGAACATTTCAGAGGCAAGTATCTGGGGAGAGGACTTCACCTAGTGGAGCCTAACTTCCCACAACCCATATTGCCTTACAGTCTTGTCACTGTGTGTGCCCCCAGCTCAAAATATGTAGTTCTGTACAGTATTAAGTGTCATGTGGCTGCAAGAACTAATACATTGACATTGGCAAATAGCATTCCCAGTTTGGATCAAGAATTTTGCCTTGTCCTTTTAAAATAATGTTTCTCCATGCCTTTCCTTTTTACTGCTTTCAGGAATGGAAAATGATGACACTGCAGTTCAGTATGCAATTGGTCGGTCAGACACAGTTGCCCCTGGCACAGGAATTGACCTGGAATTTGATGCAGATGTCCAGACTATGTCCCCAGAAGCGTCAGAGTACGAAACCTGCTACGTCACATCCCACAAAGGACCCTGTCGTGTAGCTACCTATAGTAGAGATGGGCAGCTAATAGCTACTGGATCTGCTGATGCGTCCATAAAAATCTTGGACACAGAAAGAATGCTGGCCAAAAGCGCCATGCCGATTGAGGTGAAGATACCAGTCACATCTTACCATTTATCTTCTGTTGTCCCTTCTTAGAAGAATGAGAGTGATTCCACTTAGAGTTTCTCTTCTTTCCTTGTTGGCCTAGGTCATGATGAACGAGACTGCACAGCAGAACATGGAAAACCACCCAGTGATTCGAACTCTTTACGACCACGTGGATGAAGTCACGTGTCTTGCCTTCCACCCAACAGAACAGATTCTCGCCTCTGGTTCAAGGGATTATACTCTTAAATTATTCGATTATTCCAAACCGTCTGCAAAAAGAGCCTTCAAATACATCCAGGTGAGGAATGTCTGGAAAGGAGCTTCTGGTTTTTTTTTTTTTCCTTTAATACAGTGAGCTGATGTGTGACTCTTCTCTTTCTCAAAGTTGTCTCCGTGGTCATCCTATAAACAAGGAGGATGCATTGCCTGCCACAGATGGCACGGCTCTCGGGCTGTCCGGCGCCAACTTCCTCTGGCCGCTCAGGACAGCTGGTGGGCAGAGATATGGTTCAGAATTCACATCACTCTTTAAAGGTTGCAGATTCTTGCTTAAAGACAAAACATAACCAACTTCTCTACAGTGTAACTTATGGGAATTACAAAATTATTTAGTTGGGACACTCAGGTATTTGCCGAAAAAGCAACATTTGGTTGCCTTATTTTGAAAACGCAGTTCAGACCTTCTGGTGTTTTAGTAGTGACTTCCACCTCCATATTTGGAGCCCTGGGACAAAGAAGCTATTCTTTCGGGGGGCGATCTTAGTTCTCTGACCAGGGATCAAATCTGTGCCCCTGCAGTGGAAGCACAGAGTCTTAACCACTGGAATGCTAGGGAAGTCCTAAGGAGCTATTCTTAAAGTACAGTTGTTTATCTTTATTCACTAATTGTATATGAAGGTATCATGTGTGTGTGTTGGTCTCTCAGTCATGTCCATTTCTTTGCAACCCCATGGATTATTAATATAACCCATCAGGGTCCTCTGTCCATGGAATCTTTAGGCAAGAGTGCTGGAGTAGGTTGCCATTCCCTTGTTTGGGAGATCTTCCCGACCCAGGGGTTGAACATGGGTCTCCCGCGTTGCAGGCAGATTCTTTACGGTCTGAGTCAGCAGGGAAGCCCCACAAACGTATCATAGAATGATGATATTCCATTCTGAGTTCACCCATTGTTTGTTTAAAATAATGAAGCTCACTTCTGTGTTCTTTGGAATAATCTCACCAGTAAATAGTTTTGGAAATCTTTGTTTAAATGATTCTCTCATTAAGTTCTTTGTTCTTCTCGTACCTGTGTAATATCTGGTCATTGTTTTATGGTTTCTCTGCATTGGCCAGATATTCTCCGCAGTTCCTCTAGGCTTAACAGTGGTTCCCCTGCTCTCTCCTGACAGGAGGCTGAAATGTTACGCTCCATCTCCTTTCATCCTTCCGGAGACTTTATACTTGTGGGGACTCAGCATCCGACACTTCGACTTTATGACATCAACACATTTCAGTGCTTTGTCTCTTGCAACCCTCAAGATCAGCACACCGATGCCATATGCTCAGTGAATTACAATCCTAGTGCCAATATGTACGTGACTGGTAGCAAGGATGGCTGCATCAAATTATGGGATGGTGTCTCAAATCGATGCATCACAACGTTCGAGAAAGCACATGATGGCGCGGAAGTTTGTTCTGCCATCTTTTCGAAAAATTCTAAATATATTCTGTCAAGTGGAAAAGACTCTGTAGCTAAACTTTGGGAAATATCAACAGGACGAACGCTGGTCAGATACACAGGTATGTAAGAGGTTGATATCAATTCACATTCCTGAGGTGTTTTAGTTTCCAGAACTCTCGAAACCGATCCACACAGTAAATCCCCATGTGAATCAAACAAGAGGCAGAGCTGGAAGTAGAAGCCACAGTTTCTTAACTTGGCTCATCTCAGTATGTTAATAGCTAAAATTAGATCTGATTCCACACAAGTAACACTTGAGAGTTTGGAGGTTCATTTGTATACCCATGGCCTGCCTGTTGCCCACAAAAACATGAACATAGTGCAGAGAAAACCCTTAGTGGGTGAGAGGGAAGATCTTGGCTTGTGCCTGAAGAGAGGAGGCCCCCCCAAAGAGACCCCAAGTGTTCTGGACCTGTATAAATATGCAATGATGTTACTCTGATTCTCTAATTAATTTACATTGGTCTCTGATTGTAACAGTTGTGCGAAAGCTCTTTTTATGAGATCCATTTAAATGGATCCTATCCCTAGCAGTCAGTGTTAAGGTCTAATTATTTGATAGTAAATGTTAAAATATTGTGTTTCATTCTTTTGATCCTCGTAGCAGCAAAGGCTGTTTGGTAGAAAACCAGCTAGGTTCCTCTGTTGTGAGCTGTTTGTGTCAGACACGGAAATTACTGTGACCAGAACTTAAAACTCATAAGAAAACAACGCTATTGTAAGGGATCTCCTGGGTTGTTAGTGAGTGGAGAAGATTGGAGAGTTAGTGACCTGGGAACCGCTAGGGTGCAGCATAACCTACCTTAGGATTATCTCATAGTGACCAGAGTCAGCTTCCTCCCTGGCTTCCACTGTAGCTGGTGCAGCGTGGAGGAGTCATTTTTGTTTTAGGAATGTTTGCAACATTTTTGTGGTTATATATGGTTGATTGGTTTGTTTTGCTAGAGAAGTGGGATTTGGTTTTTAAATGAGATTATACTGAATTTATATGCAAATTCCCTTTTTTCCTAATTCACAGTTTAAGACTCCTTCATGTCAGCACTTTTGGATCTGTTTTTCCAGTTTCAATGTTTAGTTAGAATTCAAAGGGCTCTTGAAATAATGAAAGAGAAGGGAAAACTACCAAGTAAATATTAGATATTTTGATGTTAAAAGTTAATTTAAAACACTGTAAACAAAATTAAAATGCTGGACTTTGGAGGAAATATCCATAGCATATGCAATAAACATGTCAGATATTGGTCAGTGAACCCAAGAAAAGATGACCAACTTCACCAAAAACCTAAGAAACAAAAATGGAAGTATCCTTTTCTTGCTTATCATATTTTAGGAATTTAAAAGATTGGTATTACCTAGTATCAATAAACATCTCAGGAAATCACATATTGTTAGGAATATCGATTGGTAAAATATTTCTGAAGGGCAACTTGGTGTCATAGATCAAAATTTTAAATACACATAATATTTTTGATGTGCTATACCCACTGTTAGAAATTTAAGAAGAGTCTCGGGAAGCATGCACACACACTCATAGTAATGTTTGTTGAACACTGAGCCTGCCAAGTGGACTGGACATCATACCTCCTTTTAATCCCCACAGCATCCTGAGGATGAGTGCTCTAATTATCCTGACAGGACAGATGAGGCCTGGGGATGTTAAGTCATTCGTTCAGGGTCACATCCAGAATAAGTACTGAGTCCAGATCCAACACCACAGTGTGTATTTTTACCCATTGAACTATATTGCCCTCTTTGTAGGTCTCCACCACATGCAGTATGCTCTGACTTAATAAGTTACAAATGAGTGTACAATGCACAGAGATATTTTGAAAAGTTGCTCATCAAAATGTTAATCCTGGGTATAAGGTTATCAGACAGAATTTTTTTTGGAATAGTTTATGTAATACTTAAACATAAAATACAATTTTTTATTCATGGTCATTAAAAAGCATAAAACTTCCTTCTGGAGAGTGGCTGCTCATACAACCCAGTGCTTCTAGTTCTGGGAATTTTATCCCAATGAAATATCTCCACCAAGGATGTTTATCACACTATGCCAATTGGATACAAACTACATGTGTGGCAAGAAAAGGATCATTAAGTAATGGTGCTTCCAAACAGTTGGGCTACTTTGCAGCTAGGAAAAAAGCATGGAGAAGTGTGCCCAACATGAAATTAGATAATGTGGCACTACTTGTATATTCTTTTTAAGGTGTTTTTATGCCTGAAATACATCTGAATATTAACAGAGTTGTATTAGGAGGTGGGCCCAAAAGTGATGTTCTTTTTCATATATGTATATTTTTTAAGAGTTTCCAAAATTGCACAATAAATGTGTATTACTTCAACGATTAATGCTGTGTTTATATCGGTATAGCTAATAACAAAAGTAGAGCAGTCAGGTGTCTAAGATGTGAACTTGGAAAGCTGGCCCTGGCGCCCAGGCCCCTAACCTCTCGGTCTCTGCGCAGGCGCTGGCTTGAGCGGGCGGCAGGTGCACCGGACGCAGGCCGTCTTCAACCACACGGAGGACTACGTGCTGCTGCCGGATGAGAGGACCATCAGCCTGTGCTGCTGGGACTCGCGGACGGCCGAGCGCCGGAACCTGCTCTCGCTGGGCCACAACAACATCGTGCGCTGCATTGTGCACTCGCCCACCAACCCCGGCTTCATGACCTGCAGCGATGACTTCCGGGCGCGATTTTGGTACCGGAGGTCAACCACGGACTAGAGCTGCCTGCGCCCAACAGGGTTCTTTTCAAGAGGACTCTGCCCTCTTCTCCACCAACCCCCCTCCTGTGTCCGTCACCAGCCTCAGTAGTAAGTCATAGCTCCATCTCCAGCAGTTATGCTGCCACCTCTACATCCTTCTGGGATTTGTATGAAAGAATCTTTTTTTACCTTGATGGAGAATCATGGTGGAAAAAGTTGGAAACAGATCTGTGCGGTTGTTCTGCACTCACTGATTATTACAGTGTGATTTTCATCAGTTTTGTAAATACAGGACTTACTATTTCTCTAGACTTGATCATTTGATGGATAGGGTATTAAAGTGCTTTCTGGATCCCATGTGGATCTGTCATGAGGAATGTGCATCTGGATATTTTTGTCAGCTTCTGTGCCTGTTCTGTATCCTCCTTGTATATTTCTAAAATGCATTTCGGCAGATACATAGGCATATAGCTCTGAAAATCAAAGAGTTTTATGCCATATTAGGCTCATTTTAGAAAATCTATCAGTTCTATCCTAAAATGACATCATTCTGATAATAAAGATCAGATCTGCAACTTTACTGTCAACACACGTTTCACTTCAGTAAAATGAGTGGCTGGCTTTTCCTGAAGATTCGTAGGAGGTGTGTGTCCCAGCACGCTTCCCACATAGTCCTTTCACAACCTAAAACACTTGTCTTCAGTAAGATGACCTTGTTACCCTTTGATGGGAAACATTGACAGGATAGTCGATCTAATCAAAATTAGGCAAACCGGCTACTGCTGTGAGGTGTTACTCATCGTCAGGAATGATCTCTATCAATTGACTTTCTCCTCACGTGATTTTAAATCTTAGCTTTGAGTTCTCTTCAGCATGTACCATGACTGCTCATCTTGGATGCACCAAGCAGCGGTGTTCTCAGAATTTTTTTCCCTTTTTTTTTTTTTTTTGCAATTAACCAAATAATACAGGTTTTCTTATTCTTAGAATTTTTTATATAGTGACAATACTTCTCTGGATTCAATTCTAGCCTCATCAGAGAGCCCTGAGCTCCTCTTACAGATAGATGTTCTGGTTTATCATTATCCCCCAATACAGATACCTCATGATCTGAGTAGGAGTTCCTAAAAATACAATCCAGGATCATTTGATAAAGATACTAAATAGACTTGATTGTTTTATGTTATAGGAATTAATTTATAATCTTCTGAAGTTTACTGTTTAAAACTTCTGTTTTAGACATCATCCTTAAGGATCATTTAAACTCTTTCATCTAAAACCATTTTCATGTTAAGTCACAGGTTTCCAAAGAGCTATATATTTGGGTCCGTAGTGAGTTTAAATTTTATTTTGTGTCCTGATTCTCCCAATACTTGAGCTTGGTCACCTGTGGGTGCCATTTTTATAAGACTGAAAGAAACCTGCTGAGTAGAATAAAGGATAACCAATTCTACCCAAGAAATTACCAGCCAAAACTACCCACATTTTCCGACTTCCAGCCTTCGAAACGGTAAAGTCGAGGTCTAACTTTTCTGCTGCTTCTCTCTGAGATGCACTGGGATGAGCACACCACACTCGATACTGGTTCCATTGGACTTTTTAACCGTTCGTGAATTGAAATGATAATGCCTGCTTTTTTCCAGCTTTTGGAATAGTCTCAGCAATGTGTCTGTAGTTTCAGGACTTCTGTTTACAAGATCAAGATGCTTCCATGTGCTTCCAAAATAACTTCTTTTTAAAATTTTTCTTCTTTTAAAACTCACATTCATGTTTCGAACTAGCGTTAAGGGACTTGGTTTCCTTGAATCGTTAATTATACCACAGAACACTCTGACATGCAGAGGGTGAGTAACATTCAGTCAAGATGAGAACTTAAAACTTCAGTGTTATTTTTTTTAAAGATATGTGATTTCTAAAATAAACTTTTTGTATATAATGATCATTTAAAGCTAGTTCATTTTTGGGGTGGAGTTCTCTTGCATGTTTCTGTTACAACATAAGGTCTTGAACAGCCATTGTGAGCTTGGATGGATACTTCTCTCGGTTTCTTTAGTGTTCTGTTCTGGAAACCAGACTTAGTCACCTGTAGATGTGTATCTTTGCTCTTCTATGAATTTAAAATTTTGAGTATAATCCGTTTCTTTAGATCATTCAGAGAAATCTACCTTTTGTCTTAAGCTTTGGTTTCCCTTGCATGCATGCCTGCATTCTCAGTTGCTCAGTCATGCCCAACTCTTTGGGACCCCATGGACTGTAGTCCGCCAGACTCCTCTGTCCATGGGATTTTCCAGGCAAGAATACTGGCGTGGGTTGCCATTTCCTTCTCCAGGGGATCTTTCCGACCCAGGGATCAAACCCAAGTCTCCTGCATTGGCAGGCAGATTCCTTATCACTGAACCACCCAAAAGAAGAGATTGTTGGGGGGAATCCCAAGTCTCAGCTCTTTTAAGGGAAATCATTTCTCTTCCAGGCAATAGTTTCCTTTTCTGTGATTGAAGAGCTTATCAAAATCATCCCCAACGTGCACTTCCATCAGTGAAGCTCCTTTTTTAAAAACACATCATGATGTAAACAGAATTGGGGGAGGGGGAAGACACTGACTTCTGGGGGAAACTTCTGCTTTGGAAAGAAACAGCGGGCCAGGACCCTCCGAGAGCCCCGTTCAGTACAAACCCGAATAGATTTCGTGTTTAATCACTAAGTAGATAGCTGAGCTAGCAAGAGAGTGCGGGAGTTCTGAGCACACAGCCCACATCCAGAGCACTAACAGTGACGGCTGCTGGTAACACCACGGACATTGGCAGTCCCTTGTAGCCTAGACTCCTTGAGCTCTTGAGTCTTCACAAGGTAGGAACTTTGATCAAAGACCCAGGAAAAAAAACCCAGAACCCAAAAGGTGCTTCCCCCCACCAGCTAAAAGGTGATGTTGACAAAATCCCCACCTCAGAGAAAGAGGAATCCTACCTACAGCACTGGCTCGGGTTTGTGGAAGAGGGTCTGTGGTGTTGGCACGGGGGAAGGCTGTTGAGAATCCCCCATCCACAAGCTGTTGGCTCCTTGAGCAAGGCTAGAACAAGTCACACCGCTCAGTGGTTTAGAGAAACCTCTGTGTGGTTTCAGGCTGAGAATTTAAAGCAGCTCCAGCTGGTAGTGGAGTGTCAGGCTAGCACCTCTGCAGCCGGGGTCCCCAGACTCCCGGATCTAATGCCTGTTCTGAGGTGGAGCTGATGTAATAAATAAAGTGTACAATAAATGTAATGCGCTTGAATCATCCTGAAACCGTACCCCCCCATGCCAGTTCACGGAAAAATTGTCTTCCATGAAACCTATCCCTGATGCCAAAAAGGTTGGGGACTGCTGCTCTTCAGAAGAGCACATCTTAGCCCCAGGCCTCAATAACTTCTCCCAGAGAAGCTCTAAGAATCATTTTCAGGGGCTTCCCTGGTGTCCCAGTGGTAAGGAATCCGCCTACCAATGCAGGAGACTCGGGTTCGATCCCTGGTCCAGGGAGATCCCACGTGCCTCAGGGCAACTAAGCCCATGTGCCTAGAGCCTGTGTTCCCCACCCAGAGAAACCACTGGGATGAGAAGACCGCAAACCGCAACTGGAGAGCGGCTCCCACTCACAACTAGAGCAAGCCCATGCGCAGCGACGAAAAGCCAGTGCAACCAAAAGTATAAGTAAAAGAATCTTTTTAAAAAGATAATCACGTGTTCTCAAGTGTAAGAAACAGCCACGGTGATGAGAATCAGCAGAAATGAGTCAGACACTGGAATTAGCAGGTGCACGATAGGTAAGTATTGTGTAGAATACCTCTGAAAAACTAAAACAATAAAATGGGGTCAAGGATCAAGAGACTTTAAAAATAACTGAGTAGATTTGAGCCACCACAACAAAATAACTTTAGAAAAACTTTCAGCATTTCTGTAGCTTTCATACCTCTTGTTTTTGCCCTGTGCTTTTGTCGTTCTTTTCCCTTTAGTGGGTGTTGTCATCTATGAAGACTCTTTCCCATTTTCTGGCCAATTGTCTCTTCCCTTCCTGGTTGCTCCCCCATAATGACTACTGGCTCGTGGCATCATTTTCTGCATTCAGCCTTGCCCTCCAGCTTTACACACCTTTCTCCACCTGTAGCGTTTCCTCTTTTTTTTTTTTTCAAGTCTTGCTCTGATTCCTTTCTCCTCTCAAACTTGGGATCAAAATTCAGGCTAGTAAGCTGAGCTATCACTAATTATAATGCCTGCAGTATCTCAGTCTTCCCCATATTATCCCTATACTCGGGTTTTTAGATGAATTTGTTGGCAATTTATGAAATCCCACTTTGACCAAAGGAGCTCTTTTGAGTTACCTTCTTGAGGTTACAATCTGCCAGATAATCAGGTGATCTTAAAGCAGCACGGGATTCCCTGGCAGTCCAGTGGTTAAGATTTCAGCTCCCAGTGCAGGGGGTTTGGGTTCATCCCTGGTCAGGGAGCTAGGATCCCACATGCCTCCTGGCCAAAGAACCAAAAGATAAAACAGAAACAATATTGTAACAAAACCAATAAAGACTTTTAAAGCAGCACAGTCTGAAATGTCCTGCCAGAACTTTAATGCTCTGGACATTCTGAGTCTGGTGTTCGGCTGGTCTTTAATAAGTCAGGTATTGAACTGACACTCATACAGTTGGATGGCTGAAAGTCCACACAAAAACAGTATAAAAGCATATGAAAGAGAGCTAAGTACACAAAACAATATGCCTTCCTGCACATTTATTAGGAATTATGAAAATGATCAGACTCCCTAAGTTCTGAAAAGAAACTCAACTCAAAATTCTGTTCTCGGGGACTTCGCTGGTGGTGCAGTGGCTAAGATTTCACACTATCAATGTAGGGGGCCTAGGTTTGATCCCTGGTCAGGAAACTAGATCCCACATGCCACAACGAACGATCTGGCATGCCGAGATGAAGATCAAAGGTCCTGTGTGCCTCAACTAAGACCCAGCACATCCAAATAAATAATAAAAATAAACAAAATACTCTTCTTAGCAGCACATTACTTAAGAGAAGGGGGGATTACCTTATTAGAAGTTCTCTCACTTGGTTCTCTTAATTCTAGTTATTTCAACCTTTGGTCTGTTGGATGTTTTGAAAACAACACAGTTTCCTAGAATAATCAACTCTCGCAATGTTGAGTTATAATGTAAATATGAATGGACCACAGCAAAATGTCTACAGCAAATGTCTACAGCTTTTCCATTCAGAAAAATCATAGCTGATCAAACAGGAGTCTGAGAAGTCAAGCCCCTCATTCACAAAATACCACACTGAATATCTATGCAGGGGTGAGTATTTAATTTTAGGGTCAAATCCTATTAGTTTTGTTTTTTGTTCAGACTGTTTTTCCTTGAAAAAGACATGCAAATGACAGCATTCTATCTGTATAGGGACCTTCAGGGTCATCCCTTCAGTACTGGGAAGAACTGCTGTCTGGAATTCGCCAAGGTGATGGGAACCATCCAAACTTGAATTGGCATGAAGTCTGTCTGTTGTCTCTTCCAGGAGACTTGGGTTCAGAGTCTATATCTGTTCATCACTTGAGCAACTTTGTCCAGCCTTTCTACTTTTTTTCAAATAGATGCAGCAGTCAACAATACAATAGAAAACAGTGGTTGCCAGTGTGGAGAGGAGAAAAAGGAGTGACTACTGATAGGTATCATCTTTCTCATTGGGGTGGTGAAAAAGTTCCGAAATTAAATAGTGGTGATGGTTGCACAACTCTGATTATACTAAAAAAAACACTGAATTGTACTTCTGTGGTATGTTAGAGTGAAGTAGTGAAAGTGTTAGTCACTTCAGTCAAGTCCGACCCCTTGCGATTCCACAGACTGTAGCCCATTAGGCTCCTCCGTCCCTGGAATTCTTCAGGCAAGAATACCAGAGTGGGTTGCCATTCCCTTCTCCGAGGGGTCTATGTGAATTATATGTTAATAAAGCTGTTGCTTTTTAAAATTCAATATCAGCAGTACAGTGCAATGAATCCCCATGGATCCATCACTCAGACTCCCCAATTTTCAGCTCATGCCCAGTATCGTTCTAATTACCTCTATCTACTTTCCCCTTGAATTATTTTGAATTCTCAAATTTTGTCTGTAAATATTTCAGTGTATATCTCTGAGAGATAAGGGCTTTTAAAAATGCAATCATAACATCATTTCATCTCTATACATAAGAAGCATCAGAGTTTGGTTTCATAGATTCCCTCTCTGAAAACACAAACCTCAGCCTTAGCTAGACAGTGCTTGCCTCTTCCTTATAAGGTGCTCAATGACCCAAGGTCACCGACACAGAGGAGCTGGTAAAGCCAGAAGAAAGAAGGAGCAAATAGGTACACCTGAGAGAAATATCCAGATTCATATTTAAAATCACCTGATATTTTGTAGCGGCCTTTGCCTCACAAATACCACGTGCAGTAGTACCATTTTAATGATCTGTCTCATCTGTAAAGATAAACAGGATAAACAGGATATGTACCTGTAAAAGATAAACAGGTACCATCTGTTAGTCCAGGCTCTACACTGACCTGCCCCTGCTTCTCATACCTTGCCTTCCATGTGAAACCTTTCCTAGATTATTCCCTCTTCTCCTATCTCTGTCCTCCTCTCTATGGATCTCCACCTTGAGCTTGTTGCTCAGTCATTTTGTGATGGTTCTGTGTGATCTTTGTTCCTTCCCTCTTATTTGCTCTCATCTATAACATATCAACCACTTGGCCAGGGAAGTTCCAACAAAGGTAACAATTTAGAATATAGATTGTCTCCCACTGGAAATCAGTCATCTCTTTCCACTCATAAATCCTTCCTGGTACTCAGACAGGACAACCAGCAGACACGACAGTAAGTGCTGTAATCACAGGATGGGAAGAAGAGAGCTCATTGGAGACGGAACCTGAGCCTGGCTGGAAGGATGGACACCAGTTTGTTTACATGAAATAAAAATGCCAACATGCCTAGCAAGCCTTTTGTGCCCCTGTAGGTCCTCTCTGGATATTTAGTCTGAATTTAAGGAAAGTGGAAAGAATCTGCCTGCAATGCAGGAGCCACAGGAAACTCAGGTTCGATTCCTGGATGGGGAAGATCCCCTGGAGAAGGAAATGGCAATCCTCTCCAGTATTCTTGCCTGGGACATCCATGAACAGAGGAGTCTGGTAGGCTATACAGCTCAAAGGATTGCAAAGAATTGGACATGACTGAGCAACTAAGCACGCATGCACACAAGGAAAGTGGAACAATTTAGCAAGTTGTACTGAATTGCATGATGAACTAGCATTGTGGCTTCAAGTTCAGATGGTGGGCGGGTGAGATTTGAGAGATAATGTACTTGTATTGACAAGTGCTCAGCATAGCCCTGCTGCAGAGACCACACCCAAAGACCAGGGGGTGGGCAATGGGGGTCGGAGCAGAAGGAAGTGTGTGCCTGACCCAGAAAGATGTGGGAGGAGGTCTCCTGGGTACCGCTCCCCCATTCCCGGACTCGTTTTCTCTGGCTGTTGCAGGGCAAGTTTTAAGGTGCAAGAAGGAAGAAACACTGACCGCTATCAGAAATGTGTCCTGGCGGCCTGTAATCAGAGAAATAAGTTTGGTCTGTCCAGTGGGAATTGTTTCACGACGTTCAAGGAATGAGACTGCCGTGCATTCATACACTCAGCTTTTCAAAGTAGGAACTTCACCCTATAAAGGAGAAGACTATTTTTTTCCCCTTTTGTGGTTTCTCAGAGCAAATGTGTGACAGTCTCTACTCATAGACGTAGAGGCATTGAGGAGTGAGGGTGGCCTTGATTTCTCATCACCCCTCCTTCACCTCTTTTCTTCTCCTCCTTTCCATAAAGTCTGCCTTCTGGGAGAAATTCTGACAATTTCCTGTGCTGTCAGATAGTGCCATAGAATTCAGTTTCTGAGAACCAGCCAGAGGCATGCAGTGACATTGCGTAACCGCTTCTGAAGTCAGAGATATCAGCCGCCGGGCTCAGAGGAGCTGGTTCATAGGAGCAACATGAAAGGAGCAGGCATCCTGGACAGAGCGCCCAAGGTGAGTGGCTGGGCGGTCTGTAGGGGCAGAAGATGGAGCAGTCTGTTTGGGTTAAGGACAGCGGCTGATTTCAGTGCTGAGTTTCTGATGAAGTAAAAAATGTAACAGTAACCTGTAAGCTCTAGAGGGGAAAGTTTCATGGTAGTTTAAGTGCAGAAAATATATGCCCTGTAAAGCTCCTTACCAGTCTGACTCAGAGTTGGATGCAAATTATTTTCTAGCAAAACTCAGTGTACATGATTGATAACACAACCCATCTCTTCGTGCCCATTCACCTTCTAACACATTTCTGAGCGAGACACAGGTCTCTGCTCTGGCCCTGAGCCCTCAGCAGGCTTTCCTATGCTGTTTTCATCATACCTTCTGTACTGATTATGCCTGAGCAGAGCTCAAGTCTGTGGCAAGGATCAAAAAGGTTTTGCTATTAGAAAGTTGAAATGACTGCTTAAAAAAAAAAAAAACTGCTCAGACACAGGGAAAGTGAAGGTCAGGGTTATTTTGCTATATCTTCTTGAAATTTTAAGTAGAACAGGAAAAAGAAATGAAGCAATTATGAAATGGGGAGCTTCTTTATATGATTAAATATGTGATATTTATTATTAAAATAATAGTCATAGGTGTCACTAGTGAAAGTTATAGCTGAATAGCCTATAACAGCCTCTGTTATATATCTTAGCTACCCTAGAATTTTGTACTCAACTATTTTCCTTGAAAAAGCTTTAAAGCACTGGGAAAACAGGAAAAAAAAATTCAGTAAACTTGTGCATTATCTTTTACCTAGATTCACTGATTCCATGCACTTTATCACATTTGTGTGCATCTATTTGTATATATTTAGATGCAGGCTACATTCACATTTTCCAGAAATCAAAAATTATCCTTCCTAGCTTTTTTGGCTATTAGTATGTCTTTGTGTATGTGAGTGTTTTGTTTTTCTAATCCCAGACTCATTCCAGGATCACACATTTTGTTTGTTAAGTCTCTGTCAACCGTAATCTAGAACAATCCACTACTTTTTATTTCTTTCCTAATGTTGGCATTTTCTATGAATATCCAGTTTTTTTTTATGATTTAGACTTCTTTTTATTTATGGGCTGCTAAATCTGCCCAGTTTCTACAGAACTTTGCAGCATGTGATTAGCATATATATATATGCAAGTAACATATATCTGATAGTCTCAGCATCCCCATAAAATTCTATTATTGAAAAAAATTCTATTATTGATATTATACAGATAGTAACAGCTGACCCTTACTGACTGTCCATCTGCCAGGCCTGGTGCTGAGTTTTCTGCTTGCTTTTTCTTATTATATCCTCTCACCATCTCCATGAGGTAGGTGTGTTACTTTTATCCTCATTTTACAGATGAGGAAAGTGGACCAGATGAGGACAGAGGACCTTGAAACAACTTGACAAGGTCATTCACTAGTAAGGAGAATGCCAGGAACCAACCAGGTAGACTGACCCAAGCCCCAGCTCTTAACCACCTCACTACATCCTGATCCTTAGGCAAGAGGTCCACACTCTTTTCATCAAGAGCCAGATAGTGTTTTATGCTCTGTGGGACCTCTGATCTCCAGTGCATATTCTTGTTTGTTTTTACAACCCTTTAAAAATATGAAATCATTCTTAACTCTTGGACTGGTCATGCAGATTTGGTCCAAAGGCCCTAGTTTGCCAATCCAAGTCTTAGATGAATGACATGTGAACTGGTTCAAATGTTCCCACCTGGTAAGGGCAGTCGCAGGGCAAGAACCCAAGCCTTCCACTCCCAGTCCTAAGGCTGCCTCACCTCACGGTTTCCCCAGCATTCCTACAAAACCACCAATACACAAATAAAATAATATGCTTTTAAAAATTGGCTTTACAAGAGCGGGAGCAGTAATGAATATCTGTGGGGCTTCTTGTCTTTCACAGTGAAAATTATGTATTAGAATGCCATCTGTTTTAGCACTGTTGATCTACCTCGGTATTTTTAATGCCTACATTGTTGTTGAGGTGCTTCTGATTAGATGGTAACACAGAACTTGAAGGGGTCGTGCCATGGGAGTGGTCCCCCGCATTGGGGCATCTGACTTTATTTTTTTTTTAGGGGGGCATCTGACTTTAAAGCAGCCCCGCTTTTCACTCGGGTCCCCCCAATACCTCTCACGCCCCGATGTCTGCCTGTGCATGTCGGGAGGCGAGCGGAGCCTGCCGTCTCGGGCTGTCCCCAGTGCTGCTGCCTAAGAGCCAACCTGGACTTCCTTGTCAATAGAATTTCACCTGTGTGCACAGCAGACTCTGTGTAATTGTCTGACTTTTATAAAGCTTCCCCAAACTCTCTTATTAAATGAAGAGAAAAACTGAAAAATTAACGTGACAAAATTAGAGCTAGGAAACACTGACCTCAAACAGTGTGACTGCAACAAAAATAGAGACCATGATGCATTGCCAAGTTGGTAAACCCAGCCTCTCAGTGGACTGTAGCTGACTGGCTCCACGTTCAACTCATTCAAAAGCTAGAAAATTAGGTCTAAAGGACAAGATGAATAAGTGGTTTTATTCAATGTAAGCCCTCACTTTGGACTTTTGGTTATTTCATAAGTGCCTTATTTGTGAAAATAGAGTCTGCGCCTACTTTTGTGATTCAGTCCCATTGGTTGCAAATTGTGTTTACTTCTGTGTGTGTGTGTGTGTGTGTGCGTGCACACGTCCACACACTTAGAAGTGATACTGAAAATAGCGTCTTTGTCTCCCTGGAGTGAATGTCCAGAAATCGAAAGAGGAATCCTGGGTCAGATAAGCACGATGGTTATTTTCCATCACTTTCTGAGAATCTCGACTATTTGAAAACCTACTTTCTGTAGTATTTTCTCTACAGTCTAGACGTTCTTTCTTATGAGTAGAGCTATAGGCTCTTTGCTCACTTGGTTTTCTGAAGGGAGTTTTCAGACAAGTGTCTTCAGTGTGTTACTGAAGGGTGGATGGTCCAGAGAACTGATTGAAATCATATTTATGTTTTAAGAACTTTTAAATGTCCTGAAATGTTCTCAGCATTTCAGATTTCAGCTTTGGTTGAAAAGCAAATGGTCCTGCTCCATCACACCTCTAAGTGGAATGGTTCCAGATTCAGTCAAGGAGGGTCTATAGTGAAGACTTTGAATTGTTTTTTTTTAAAAAACCACCAACATTCCCAGGGTTGGTTTAAACCCTGATAGACTAGGGTGGCGTCAGAGTGTCCACCAGTCGCTGAGACTCTCCTGCTCTGGTGCTTCTGGGCAAGAATGCTCACTGAGGCTTTGTTTGTGAGTGGGGAGCAATTTTCAGGCTCTCCTTGTACCTTTAGAAGCTCTGAAGTCATCGTGAGACACTTGAAACCCAGTATTTGTTGAAGAAGAGCAAGTGGGATCACTTGCAGAGAGCTCGCCATGGCCCACAAGGCCTTACCTGATCCACTCCCACCAGCTCCCCCACTGGAGCTGAATTCCTCCCTCACCGAATTCCTTCCCCTTCTCCCCTGCCGTTCCTGGCCTGGCATGCTCCTCTCTTCCTGTAGCTGGACCACTGGGTACTCCTCTCAAGCATCTCGCCAGCCAGAGGCCTCTGTGCACCACCCTATCTAAACCGCCTCCCTTTATACACCCATTGCATCATCTCACCATGCATCTCAGCCTCTCTTATCAAGATGGGAAATTGTTTGTTTCCCCGCTCTGGAAAGTCAACTCCATCAGGGGTAGATCTGGGCTTTCTCATTCAGCGCTGCAACTTTACGTATTTATTTGTAGCTGTGCTGGATCTTCTTTGCTGCACAAGGACTTTCTCTAGTTGCAGAGAGTGGCGGGGGTACTCTAGTTGTGGAGGGCAGGTTTCTCATTATGGTGCCTTCTCTTGTTGCAGAGCATGGGCTCTAGGTGCATGGGCTGCAGTAGTTGTGGCTCCTGGGCTCTAGGCTCAATAGTTGTGGTGCCCGGGCTACGTTGTCCATGGCATGTGGGATCTTCCCAATCAGGGGCGGAACCTGTGTTTCCTGCATTGGCAGGTGGATTCTTTACCACTGAGCCATCAGGGAAACCCTCAGTGCTGCATCTTTAGTGCCTACACACAGTAGGTATTCAAGAAACACTTAGGTGTATGTGTGTGTGTGAATGAATGAATGGGAGGTTAACAGGCGTGCGGAGCTCTTGCAACACAGCCTTGAGGACAGGAACGGCACTTCCTGCTTATCAGATGTCTGGGAACAGAGGTCATCCCTGACTCTCAGCTTTCCTAACCCTTCCCTGGCCCCAACCTGACCCACCTCTCAACCTAGACACTTGAGAATCACCTGCTCCTTCTCCCTTGATCAGATGTTGCCTTAGCTCTGAGCCTTTGCAACCGAAGTCATAGCCATAAGTACTGGTGGCCTCCCTCTGACCTTATCCAGCAGCTTGACCCCTTCACCTGCCTCCCAAGGCAGAACAGGCCAACACAGCACCCAGTGGAAAACACAACTCATGGTTCACTGTCATCCTTTCACCCAACACATAGTTATTGAGCTCTGGGGATCAGGGTGATCAATACCCTGTTCCCGTGGAGTCAGAAGGTCAGTAAGTCAGTAAAGGGACACAATGATTTCAGATGCTGCTAACTGCCCTAAAGAAAACCAAACAGAGTGACCTGGCAGAGGTGATAGACAAAAAGGGCCTCTCTGGAAACCAGAATAATGGGGAAAGTATTCCCGGCAGAGGGAACAGCAAATGCAAGGGCAGGAATGAACTCAGCAGAGCAGAGTGTCAGTGAAAAGGCCAGTGATGTTAGAGAAGAGTCACAAGGGGAGAAAGTGTCAGAAGCGACATTTGAGGGATCAGCAGTGTCTTGTGCACACTGGGTCTCGTCAACACTGTAAGAACTTGGACTAAGAACTTGAACTGCAGCATAAACCAGTAGCCTGTTTAAAGCAGAAGGTGACATGGACTGTCTTACCTTTTAAAAGATCACTCAGGCTGCTGGGTGCCCACGGACAGTCAGTAGGAGAGTG